GATGAGCCTGGGAATCATCTCAATGGAGAAAATTTGCATCATCAGTTTTACTGGTTTTTTATTACCTTTTACAGTGGCAAAAAATGTCAAGGGCTGCCATACACAGAGTTAAAGCACCTGGAAAAGCAAAAATTATTAACCTATATTTTAGTATTAGCATAATGATTAAAAACATTATGTGTTTGAGGATTGTTCTTGGGCTGCATGTTGCGTTATACTATTTGTGAGAGTCCTTGATTAAAAGATGTTGGAAAGTTTTTTATTGTGCATTCATATGCATATACACATACATGTGTGTGTTTCTAGCACCAAAAAACTATTGAAAGTATGTATGTAGTTGTGTGTTAATATACATATAGTTTTACGTATTTGTGTATTTCTCCCAAAACATGCCCGTGATCGAGAATCTATATCTCTCCACCTTCTTTCTTACTGCTCCGTTAAAGGATTAGTGTAACTTCTTATAAATTGCATTATATACAGCTTGTGTAGATATAAGTAAGCATGAAAAATCCCTGGCCTAATTGTGAGGGTGATGTGTGAGATACAGTTTTCGAAACAGCTAGAAAAAATACGTAAATTTGATATCTCTTGCTAGTGATTGTTTTAAGCTTTGTTGCAATTTTTATATAGATTTTTTTATACTATGACATTTGTATATGCACATGTATATACATTCTGATTTTTCTGTCAGATTGAAAGACTTGTATGGAATAATTCTGATTGCTTATTTAAGAGAGATAGGCTTACTAGTCATGTTCAGAACATGGCTTAAAAAATCTGCATTAACAAAATTTCCTATGTCAAATGGTAACAAAAAACCCCCGATTTTCTTCAGAACTGTGATATTGGTCAGAGAGCTGAGCCCACAGCAGCAGGAAACAGATTTAGCTGAGTCTGAACAGATCTGTTACCCAAAATCAGTATTACTCTAAAAGTTAATTTTAAATAAAGGGGAATTCCATATTTGTTTAATTTTAGAAGCTCCAAGGTAGCTGACATCTTAATTGGACAAGGCTCCAGGTTTCTGTGGAAAAGTTTGGGACATGTAAGAATGGGGGTTGTAATAGGAAAGAGAAACAGGGAAAATTAAAAAAAAAAAAAAACAGATAATGTACATTTGTCCTAGTAAAGTCTAGTAAAGGTTCTGCTAAAGAAAATTATATAGATAATTTCCTTTTAAAGATTTTTTTTTGACTCATTTAGAAACTTAATGGAAATATTAGATTTTAAATAGCCTTCTGCTAGTCCTTCTTTCAGTTTTCTTTGGATTTGCTGCGCATGGAAGTTTAGATTATGATGCTGGGCTGTGTGCTTCAGTGGTCCAGGGTACCCCACAAGTTCTATTCAGTTGCCTCTGTAAAGACAGGTGGATGCTATTTGGGTGCTATTGTTTAACCCATTTCTGAACATAAGCTATCACTTGAAAAGGTGTCGCTTCAAGCCAGGGAACAAAATGTGGCCTAATATGGAAGCCCCAAGAGTCACCCATAGCCCTGCTGTGATTTTTTGGGATTGTGCATGTTCACATGGAGAGCTGAAGCCCTCTGGGGTCTGGGAGGATGTTCTGTGCAAATGGGATGTTTTAGAGACTTTTCCAGTAAGCCTCTAAAATAATCTACTAAGCACATGCAAATACCAATTTTCAAAAACCCAAAAAAGCTTAGCCAAAGCGGCGTAAAAGATAATTCCATCATGCTAGATTTCTGGTTTTTGCTCAGAAGCTTGGACTTATACTAACACTCTTGAGGTAAACAATCAAGAGAAATTTAAAACAGTTTCTTGCAAAACAATCCATTTCTTCAAAAAATTATGTTCTGATACAACTGGACACTTAATTACTTTAAAAAGTAGTCTGAGACAGTGCAAGACTGGGGAAACTATAGCTCAGTTACATGCATGGCAGAGCAACAACAAATGGAAAATAAAGTTGTATGATGTAGTTGTTCAAGCAGTTTTAACAATCAACATTATTCTGCCTAAACTGAAACACATTGCATGCACTAGAAAACAGTCTTTAATAAATAACCACATGCACTTAGAAGTATTAATTGATCCTTCAGAGATCACTCTTTACTTTTTTTTGCCTTGGTTATTGCAGGAAAGCACATACGGAACCCAAACCTGCTTCTGATTAAGTCAGTGAAAGCAGGAGTCTGATAAACATTTAGTTTGAAAAAATGAATTCAAGATGTTGGAATTATTTCATCCATTTTATTAAACATTTTTCCTGTATCTTTTATTCACTGGTACTGTAAGATTTGTGGTAGGTCCATTACGTCCTGAGAAATTTTAGGCTAAAGGTAAACTAAGAGCATCCAGAAAGGTGAATAGGAAATCTGTTACACGGAAGCTAACACGTGCACTTGAATGAGTAAGTCAGATAGGGATATAGGAAAACAATCCCTTTACTTGTTCACACAGGGTAGAGCACCCAGGGTAAGTGTAAATGTATACAAGTGGTTTTGTGAAACTTTTTATCCTTTTGGATATCATTTTTATCTGTAATAGTCTACCGATAAGTGCAAAGTGTCTTTTACTCATCCAGCTAAAATTTCTATTCTTAAATGTACTACTTTTAAGACAGTATTGATTAATTAGTTCACTTGCGTTTCAGTTATATTTAGGAGCCCTGTTTATGGACTAGACTGCCTTTCGCTGGATGCTGAGCGTAAAAAACAAATGTAAGGTTTCTGCACAAAAGGTGTCGTATTGGTATGGAGCAATAACTATTCCTTTTACAAAGTCAGATCTATCAAAAAAAGAGAACCAATGGACTTAGTTTTCTGCTTAAAAAAATCTAATTCCTTTGAGTATGAAATTTACTTGAGACAAGTAGTCTTTACATACAGTAGCTGCGTAAGCTAATGATTTTGCTTATGAAGTACTGTTGATGCACATGCATCTTCTGGCTGTGATATATACCTGTCTGGAAAGAAATTATTGCAGTTTTCATGTTAAACAAGAAAAAAAGCACACGTAAACTTTCTGAGTTAGAGCTATCCATTAGGTATCTCTGATCATATTTGAACAGGAAATCATGACGCTTAAACTGCTAAGTGAACACATGGAGAATATTAAGCTATATATGCAATGAAACATACATTGTTTATTTTGTGTAGCTTTCTCTTTCTCTCTTAAATACATACAAGATGGAAACTCACAGACTTTCTTTAACCTTTAGCTGCTATCCTTGTTGTATAGAAACTACTAAACAAAAACTGATGGGATAGTAAACCACTTGAGTTCGTTTTATGTCATCGAGCACTGATCACATTTCCAGTAGACAAGAAATCTAATACACTGCTGACAGATGTATGGAAATATATATACAATTAGATGATGAAATCTGAGTTAATCTCAGTTTGTGCCATTGCATTTCCTTGAATATTGCTATAAAATTCTTACCTGCTGGTGTATGACCTCCTGCAATATAAGCTTCCCACTACTCATCCAGACTGTTTTGGGGGAAACTGCCCTGCTAATAGACTACTACTAGGTCTCAGACCTGATTCAAGCTTTTACTGGAGAAAATGGGCTTCATGGGCTTCATGTGATTTTAGATAAGGCCTTGATGCATTTTCCCAGTTGTGATGTAGTATTTCCTAAACCATAAAATATCCAAGACATGAAAGCTCTCAGTCTGTGTCTTGGGGTACCTGAATGTAATGAGAGGCAAACTAAGGGAACCAAGAGATCAAATGAATTAGGAGCACAAAAATTCTTCCTCTTTTTTTTAGTTTTCTTTCTTGGAGTGAAAAACAGATTCAGACAGCAGACATATCTGATGAAAAAATATATGTATTTTTTTCCTGGGGGAATATGTGTGGAGCACAGAAGATAGACAGTTCAAAGGGAGACTTTCAATGAATACTTTCAATGAATGCTGGGTGTCGCCTTAGCACTTGGCCACTGCTCTTCCTGTCCAGAATATGAATATAAAGGAACAGTTATACTTACTGAACTGTCCCAACTGTTTGTCTCTTTCCTAGCTACTTTAGTCTTCCACAATGATACTGGGCTTTTACAACTCTATAAGACAGTATTGGCCTTTGTAGAATACATATGGTAATTGATTCTCCTGTTGCAGATGGGCTTGGAAATTTGCTTATGCATAGCCTTTTGCATGCTTCTTTGGGGGAAAAAAAATCTGTAATTAATTTGCAAATGAAGCAAGGAAAAGGGGAGCACAGACTGTAAATCAGGTTGTGATGCCAGTCTAACATGGAATGCTCCTTGTATGCAGCCTGCTGCATCAGAGGATGGAAGATCTGTTGTCTATGACCGAAAGCCGTCTACAGTCCCTCAGTATGATTGTGACACTGAAATCCATTGTGAACTATATCCACATCTTTGTCTTTTGGAAATTTTGCAAGTTGCCTAGAAATGACTTGGAAGAAAAAAAATCAAACTATTAAGAATACATGTGTTTGTGAGATTGAAGAGGCTTCCAGATGTACATGACAGCTTTGTTCTTTCACCTGTAAGCTCTGTTACTATGATTTAGTGTGAATTTAGTGATTACTGGTGGTTGGAATACAGATAATGAGAGTCAGAAGTTTTTCTGTATTGCTATGTGATGACTGACTTTTCGCTTAATTTATCCATTTACTTATACAATATGCACTCATATATATGTGCATCTATATTTGTGTGTGTGTGTGTGTGTGTGTGTGCGTGTGTGTGCGTGTGTGTGCACTCCCTCGTGCACATCTTTTACAGGCACTCTGAGCAATTTCATTAGCCTATGTTATTTGCTTTATAGTACTTGGAGGAAAAGTAGAAAATACGAGGGTTGTTGCTGTTCACATCAAATTATTAATGGTTTATTTCTTAAGTTCGTTACAGAACAAAGACGACCTTGGTGGAGGACCCTATATTGATTTGTAAATCTAGCTACATTACAAATTTCCATGTCCAAAAAAGTTGTTTTAGAAAATTCATATTATTATAGATATTGTCATGATATATTTAAATACTATTGCTTTCTTCTGTAACAGGTCTATGGAAATGCAAGATCTAGCAAGTCCCCATAATCTTGTTGGAAGTAGTGATGCACCAGGTAGTTCCAAACTGGATAAATCTAATCTCAGTAGCACATCAGTTACAACAAATGGAACTGGAGGTAAGTATCAGATATTGCTGATGCACAGAAGGTTTTGGCTAGTTTTTAGTCATATGCATTTTTTAAGTTACCATGTCAATGGTGAGCATGAAGCCATTTATAAACCCAGCAAGAATTATGAAAAAATTGCAGTCATACAATATTTAAATTAGCACTTTGTTTCAGTTTGCTATTCTACAACACAAATGAAAATAAAGACCTTTAGGCTGACGTTTTACCCACTGTAAATTTTATACTAGTGTAAATATAGTAATTCCAGCAGCATTTCTCCAGTTTGCACCAGTTGAAGTGAGAGGCAGAAATGCTCAATAGTGAAACTGATAAAATTTTGGAATGATTGATCTGAAGGAAGCTTATACTTGGTTATCCTTGTTGGTAACTTGAAATAGATTGCATTTTCTGCTTCATACTTTATTGCTGAGTAATAATTTACTGTTACACACTAAATTACACCCATTTTCGTTAATTTAAAAGCTATTTCAAAAGAAGTGCATCAAAATTGGCACTAGTGCTGGTTCAGGTAATTTTCTCACACAATTTAACACACTAATTTCATTTCTTTGCAGGTAATGAAAGCTTTTCATAAAACGATTGTAAGGTTTTCTTAAAGCTTACTGATTATTACTGCTGTTCTATTACTGTAGGGACAGCACTACCATACAGCTAAAACACAGATGTTTGAGTGTTTTCTATGCCGATAATAGGTTCTGCCATAGCTGAAATGGAGCAGTGGGGGGAAGGGTATCACGTTCTGAGATGGAGTCCTCGCCCCGTTAGTATCAGTGAGAGTAACACCATTGATACCAGCTAAGCTAAAGTTTCAGCCCTCTTTTTTGGATTGTATACATTGCGCTGTGCTATATTCTATTTTAACAGTTGACACCAACATCTTTGCAGTTTTTTCTTTCTCATCCCAATGTAAAACATTTTACTCACTTACCCTTGTCTAAAAACAAGTCTGACAATGTCAATGAAAAGTGCCTGTGTATATGGAGGGAACAGAGTCCTGCAGAGAAAGGCCTAACCATTAAGGTTCAGCCTAGTTATATTTTTAAATAAAAAGCTTATTCCGGCATAAAGAGAGGGGAAAACTGCAAGCAAACCTTTAAAAAACACTAATAACTATATGCCCCTATATTATACTTGCATAAATAAACCGGTTAAAATAATACTCATAAAAACAATACTGTGCAGTTAAAAGACTTGGCACAAAGTGCAAAAACACTGACTTGCATTGAAGAATATTCATGTACATTGAATAGACATTCGGACAATGAACCATTATACTATTCCTGTTCTCAGGAGACAACATGACTGTTTTAAATACTGCAGACTGGTTGCTGAGTTGCAGTACTCCCTCTTCTGCAACAAGTATGAGAGATTCTGGTACAGTGCATGTGTGTGGTGGTGTGTCTCTGTGACTTCTGTGTTACATCTCTCTTGGTCTGCTTTGATCTTTTGTTTTGTGGTTTGAACATTAACATATTGGGGTTTTTTCCATCCTTTTTTTCCAAACCCTTCTCAGAGGCCTTTCCTAGAGCCAGAAAACTGGAAGGAAGTTGTAATAAATATTTATCTTACCATACTTGGAAAACCATTTCATGAGCAACGAAAATTTTAACTGACGCTAAGTTAGGTTAACTGTATACATGCTCTGAGAGACTGGGAGAACCTAGTGCTGATGAACTTTGCTGGGAACTGCTAGTACTTCTCATTTCTGGAAGTCAAACGAATGGATTTTCCACGGAACGCCCATTTGTTTTTCTTTTATTTTAGTACAACATTACATAATTACCTGAGCACAAATCAAGGTTTACACTACTACTACTACTACTACTACTACTGCTACTACTACTACTATTCTACTACTACTTTTATTATTAAAACTTATATGTAGTGTGCTACTACATGTAACTTACCACTTTGCAAACATTTGGCCAAATTTCCAAGCTGTTGTTTTTATTTGTGAGTTTCCTCTCATCTGTATTACTAATTGTTATGTATTATAATGCTTTGTAATAATTATATATGTAATACTGTTGCAGTACCTGTGGGAATAACCATAAGTGGAAACATGCATTGCTGTGACTATCTACAAGCATAGATGCTTAAGCTACACAGGCTTGGGCTAAAGTTTGGAAGATCTAAAAAGTTTCCTTTTAAAAAAACCTTAGAATTAGCTTGCCATATGCAAGCCATGTACCCTGAGAAAGTTTACCAAAAAGGTTCAGACTTGAGCACAAAAGTATATTTTGCGCTGGAATAAATGATTTTGTGTGAATGTTCCTGCTCAGTTACAGTAATTTAAGTTCAAGGAAAAACTGAGCTAATTTAGTCTGTCACTTCAGTTACATGGTCAGCATGTAAATGATGAAGGTAGTAATTCAGCTGCTAATTATCAGGAGTGGGGAAATCCAGCAGGGAAGTCCTTGCACTATGGGAAGCACTTCAGCTTTGTTGTAACCTTAAATCTGATTTTCCCACAGCCTTAGAATCTTTAGATCTATACTTTTGGTAGAGTATGTCCTGAGGAGGCCAATCTCTGCAGTAACTGCACTTTCTATATGTCTATCATTATATTATGTTACGTGCTTAAACTAAGTTTAGCTTAATATATGTCATCGTCAGTTCCTTCATGAGATATGTATGCTATAGGGCTTCCCTGGCTGATGCTGTTACCATGTGCCTGCCTTGGCAATCCTTCATCTCAGATGTTCTGCCCAAACCAGGCCCTGTGTCCTGCCTTCCAGGCTTGGTGCAGCTCTAAGATGAGCCTCAGCTGGCCAGGCAGCTGCTAGCCATCACATGAGATATTTTGCTTTCAGCTGCTGTCCTCTCTACAGCTTGCATAGCTCATTGGCTTCATAAACTCTGCTAGCCACTTCACGCTGTTCTTGGCCTCCTCCCTTAGGAAAATCCTTAGGCTTGCTAAAAGAAAGGAGAATATCCTTCCCTTGACAGGCTGCCTAAATGATTGTTTTATACGCGTTTTTAAAGAATCAGACTTGTTTGCTCTAATTGCTGTCATTGCCTCCTGCTGTCACACTTGCTGGTCCAACCTTGGGCATAGTAGTAGCATCTGCTCTGAAAATTCCATTTTCATTTTCAATCTTCAGCATAGAGAGGTTCCTTAGGAAAAAAAGAGCTTGACAGATCACGAGTCGTGTTGACCTGCTAAGTTGTTTCATCAAGCAAAGAACTTGTATTGTAAAAACTGTTGCCTGTTGGGAACTACTCTGAGTTAGTCTTAGAATCAATATAATAATTAAGTTTGGAAGGGACTGCTGGAGGTCAGCTGGTCCAGCCCATGCTCAGAGCAGGGCCAATTTTGAAGTTAGATCATGTTGCTCAAGGCTGTGTCCAGTTGAGTTTTGAATATCTCTTTAAGTGTGAAGTTCGATCCCGCAGCCTCTCTGGATGCCTCTCCAGGTGGCTGACCACTCTCACAGTGAAAAATTTCCCCCTTACATCTAATTACATTTTTTCTGGCTGCAGCTTGTCTGTTGCTTCCCGTCCTTTCACTGTGCACCTCTGAGAAGAGTGTGCCTTTGTTGGTTATCTCTGCACCTACCCATTAGGTAGCTGTGGATCTCAATTAGTTCTCCTGTCAGCTTTCTCTTCTTAGGGCTGAACAAACCTAGCTGCCTCAGCCTCTCCTTATACATCCTGTGCTCCAGCCCTGACCATTATGGTGACCCCACTCTTTTAGCATATTCAGTCCTTGTTGCTGTCAACAGTCAAATACATTTCCAGCTACGATGGCTTTTCATCTTATTTTTACTCCTCCAATGCTTAAAAATTAAATCTAATCCACACTTGAAAAAATAGGGTATCCAGTTTGTATTCTTTAAAGTATTCCTTCAGTGTGGTGGTTGAAACTCTTAATCTTTGTACTATGTTTAGAAAAGTTGCCATGGTAGTATCAGAACCACACGTCATTTCTCAAGTGGCAGGAAACCTAGGGATGATTCTATGTTTTTACGTGGTGTCAGCTTATATTTTGATTTCAACTTCAAATGTTATTGGATTTTTGGTCTGACATTAGAATTTTTCTTTTTTGTTAGTTTAGTGCTCCCCCCACTTAGTTTAATTATATGCAACATAAAAAAGAAGGGTAATAGTCCAAACGTCTAGCTGCAGTGAGGAAAGGTCTAGATTAATTCCTCACTTTGATAAAATGTGAATGTAATGAAGCAGAGCTGTTTGAAATCAAGTACATATAAAAACATTTTCTATATGTATTCTTGAACAAAGCATGATGCCAATATGGTGTTTTTCCTCCAGTTAAGTACAAAAAGGAGTTTCTTTTGTTTTAGATCATTTTCTGTTTGACAGGGAGAGAAAAATATGGTGAATATTTATGTCGATGGAAGTGCACTGGAACTGGCAATAACCAGAAATAGACATAATTCTGAAGTACACATTTCAGTTCCTCACTGAAGTTTTAGTTAAAGAAAACAGGCATATGTGAAAGTGTCTTTCTGGATGCAATACTGAACATAGGTCATGACTCTTCAGCGCTGGCAGTAATGGAATGCCTTCTTGAGTAGCAGTGGCTAAAGGTCCTGAAAAGTAGTTTTTTCCATGTAGGTAAATGCCGAAAAAATACAAAGGAAAGAGATATATATCTTGCAAAGTACAATACGATCAGAGATCTTCAGAGGGGAAGATAAAACTTTACGATTTGTCATTTTCCTTGTAAGAAATAAACAGACGTGCATATGGTAAAATTAATTTTGTTACTTTTCACGCTTCAAGCAAAAATACGTGTTTGATGCGATGGAAAGGCCTGAGGTTTAGTGGAGGCAATTGTTACTACATGGTGAATGACCATTAAGCCTTTTCCTGGATGTATATCTTACTGATAGGATGAAAATAAAAACACATCTTTCTAATCTAAATAGAAAATAGTAACAATTTACTACTCTTACGAATGAATTTGTTCAGTTTGTATGATTTTTGTCACAGTTTTTTTTTGAAATCAGTAAGTAAAAGCTTGCAAAATGATAAGAAGGGCACAGCAGCTTGAAAAAATGTGGCTAAAATTCTTCCATGATGATTTCACTTTGAATTAATATCCTGCTGCTTGCAGAGAGATGAGTGTGCCAGTTTTAAAGAGAAAAAGATAATGAAAAGAAGGTTACATTTAAAAGGCACATGCATTCAAATATTTGTTAACCTCTCATAAAAGAGGAAAGATAGAGGTGCAGCATAACTGTAACTCATGTAAGAAGGGGCTGTTTGGTTTTGTTAGCACTGGGACACTGGCAATATTGCAGGACATTCCGTACATCACAGAGACAAATATACCCTGATTTCTCAACTGTTCCACGCTTTATCTAAACAGGCATTTTTTGAATTCACCATGGGTCACCTGTGCAGCGGTAAACATCTGTAACATCCAGCATAGCTTACTGAAGTAAAACCTGTTCAGCAATTTGCCTAGCCTTGTTGGGTGTGCTGACTTAGGACACCTAACTCACATGGAGCTCATCTGTTCTGGGAAACTGACAACTGTATTTAGAGCTGTGTAGGTCCTGATGATAACTTTTTTCTTGTGCTCACAGCGGGAGGAATAGCAGAATCATTCTATAGGTACCGTTCTGGCCACTTTCCACATGGGAACGCCAAATCCTAGGTTTAGTCCATCCACCATCGTCTCCTCTAGAGACTTTTAAGAGAGATGATCAACTCAAGAGGGCGACTCAAACTGTGCTTGGACTGAGTCACCCTCTGGAATTGCTTCTCTCTGTCTGCTGAACTTAAAGGGAGATTATTATGCACCTGATTTACATGCTTAACTGCGGTGCCAAACTTTTGGTGAGTTGAATATGGGCCATAATTTGTAAATATGTTGTCAGCTCAGAATATGAACCCCTCCTACACCTGACTGTTGCCAGTGAAGTCAAGTACAGATGCAGACAGGAGCTCTGGTCAGCTTAGTTTAGCTGAGGTCTCTCAGAGGGGTCGAGTAACTAGCTGGCAGAATATGCCTCTGCTTGGCACATGTTACAGCTGCCAGAAGGAACTCTTGCCAGCTTGGCAATCACAGCAAAGGCTTCTCTTAAAATCCCAGACTATGTCATTGGAATTTCAGTACCTGGCATGTGACTGCAGTAATGGGGCCCCCGGGTCCTCATACCTGCCACTTCACTCTACACCCTCAAACAGTGATCCACGCTGTAGCGGGCCGCAGGTGCATGTGATAACCATGCATACCCGCTTAACTGACCTTCGTAAAGCAACTATGATAATATGTTGGGGTTTTCCACATATGGCAGTCAAACTTCTAATAAAAGCCTTGGTATATTCTGTACCTCTGTTTCTTACCACATGAATTACAGAGTCGTTCCCAAATTCCCATACAAAAGTCCACACTAAATGGTCCCTTGAGGTAACATATTACCCCTGTGATTGCCCCTGTGATGCTTTCAGTTAAAGCTTGGTTGCTAAGGTCACGTGATGATTCATGAGAAACATTTTGAGTTCATAGTGGAACCAAATGTTTGGTAACGTTTAATAGCATATATGGTAACTTTTAATTTTAATTTGGTATTATGTAATTAGAAGCTGACTTGTCATGGATGTCATTTATGCCCTCCTTGAGTTCTAAATTTCTTTTTCTCACTCTTTTTCTTTTTTACTTCTCTCTAAATTTATGGAAAATGCCTTGCCAATGACCTAGCACAAAAAAAAAAAAAAAAGCTCCCATACACACCAGAAAAAGAGGGAAGAGATAAGGGAGAATGCTGGCACTCTTAAAGACTTTTGCTTTTATATGAAAATGAAACCATATTATTGTTTCACTTGTCAGGCAAAACTGTTTTTGTTATGTGCTTCATTCCTTGACAGCTAATGTTTTCTTCCTCTCCGGTAATCATAGGGAATTGTTAGAATTAATTAGATTTAAGTTGAAATCTCCCCAGAAGATATTCCAGTTGCCAAACCCAATAGACAGATGAATGCACAGACAGAAAGAGATAGATGAATGGCTGTTCCAGCCCAAGCCATTGTACAGTATTCTCAATAACACAGTAGAATGAAGGTCTAAGCTGTTACCCCGCATGCTTATTCTAGCCCGGATTACTACTGGTAAAACTGGCATGAGGACTCCGGTGTAAATTTAGAAATAAAATCTCATGTCTGCTTATTCTTCTATGTAGTGTCTCTTCTTGCAGTCAAAACAGAACCCATGAACAACAGTGAAACAGCAACAACAACTGGAGATGCATCGCTTGACACTTTTACTGGGTCAGGTAAAGCCATAATAAGATCATATATTATTAGATGCACATTAATATAGCATTTAATAACCTTCACTAATGAACATTTCACTGCATGGAAGCAATCTTTTAAAAACTACAATAAAGTAACATTTTAATACCAAATAATAATAATAGCTTTCTCAGAAAACATCTTAATTTACAATTCTCATGAGCTATGATCTTAAAAAAGCTTTAGTGGTGACTAAGACCATTCCTGTGTGCAGAAATCTTACTGCAATAATGTCGTTCATGTACTGTAGCTTTTTTTGGTGCTAGTACTGTACAATCTCAGCAAGAAAAAGTTGGTTTGTATTTGTAACAGCCGTTCTAATTTGTAAAATTTAAAATGTCAAGGGTTATATTTCAGTGATAATCTTTCTATTCCTGCTAGCAGTGTGTTAGTTTAAACACTGATCAGATTTCTCTAAACTACTTTCTGTCCATGTAAATAAAGTATTTATAGTAGTTTAAATAATTAAATTTTAATAATTAAATAAGTTCTCAGTTACTTCTTTTTAAAACTCAAACAGAAGCAGCAACTTTTAAGTAGATTAAAGTATTTATAGGTGATAAACCGTGGAAAAGTACAGAGAACCTGCCTTCTAATAAACTACATCCTGATAAAAATAATATTAACAGGGAGGGGGAGGGAGAATAAATGTTGGAATTATCTTTATACATCAGTAAATGCAAATATACTCTGAAGTTGATTATTCAGAAAAGGTCTTGAAGAACTTGTACTTATTCACTATAAGTTCTTGAGAAAAAGGTCTTTTGAAAGATGAAAGCAATCATGTATTGTGTCTGATTAGAAAAACAAAAACATTTTCCTCACTATAATCATATTGCAAGAAACTCAACAACTTAAAATCTAAGTTCCATAAAAATGAAAGTCTTGGCTAAAAAATAGCTTTTTTTTGGTGAGAACTTTGACTCTGTTGTTACTCTATTCTAAAATTTTAGTAATGATTGCAGATTGTAGAATGTCTGACCATATATGATTTTGGCATTACTGCTGAAATTTTATCAGCTTGTGCGATGTATTTAGGATATCTGAGTTTCATTTCATATGTAGAACATAGCTAAGCAACATTTTTATGAAAGGTGCCAAAAATTGCAATCTCAAGTTCACGTTTAGATACCTAAATAACAGCTTATTTTCCCAAGATGCCACTCGCCCGTTAGTTCGTACTGACTTCAGAAGAAGTGTTGAGATCTCTGTGCTTCTGAGATGCAGAAAAAATCAGCGCTTCCAAAAAAGGCAGGAATTTGAGCTTTACACAGTCATTTTTGTCTGTTAGCCACCTGCATATTCAAATGAAAAAGGAGCGTGATTCTCGGGTTAGGCCACAAGCTCAGGTATGAAATAAATGAGTGTGGTCATTCCAAGTGGGAAGATCAATAGTCTGTCTATCTGAGTAATGTCTAGTCTTCATCACATCAGAGTAAGAGGCAGAGCCTGCCTTGGTAACATTTTGAGTCTTAAATAAAAATTATATCCAGTATTTACACTCTTGCCTTTTACTGGTACTTGCAAATTGGACAACTTGATTGGATCAGCTTTGTGACAGAAGTGGTAAGGAACAATAAAAGCTCACTTAATAAAAATAAATGTTTCATGTTTTAACCTAGCTAGTTATTTGGGAAGCTTAAGGGATTGCCAATGACAATAAATACTAAAAAGTAGAAAGATACCTTTTTTGGCAAACCAGCCGCAATTGAAAACAGTGGGTAACATAGCATAACACTGAACATCATTGTTATTTTTTCCCTAATAAACAGTTACATATATGTGTCATTCCCAGCTATGACAAAATCATAATGCTAGTGCCTTCCTGCAGCTTTCAGAACAACTGTGTTCTCATTTCATGCAGATGCGTAGACTTACAGAGCACTAACAGGGGTATCACCTACTCTGTCTTACATTCACAGGGCAGAAGGACGTAAGCATTCTTTGATGAATATGGAACAATTTAATTATGTTATTAAATGTTTGTTTCTGTTATTAAATACTTTTATGAAATGAGATGTGGGTGAAAAGAGAACTCGTACTGCTAAGGCCCCTTTGAGAGTCTGCCGTGTAGAATTTCTCTCATTCAGATATTCTGTCCATTAAAATTGACTTCCATGCTCAAAGAACAACAAAAACCCATGATGTTTCCTAAAGCCGGGTGAGAGGCTGAACTCCAGGATGTAAGGTAGAACCAGCTCTATACCTAATGACCTGCTTTAACATAGAAAGTGATGATCTCTGTGAGGTATAATGGCAGGAAGGACACATTAGAACTCACAAGTAACTGTGATGCACGCTGATTTTTCATGGATAAACATTGCAGCTTTTTTAAATTGCTCTGGAACACTTATCCTGCTGGCTTTCCCTAGTGTTTTGTAATCAGAAATACTTCGGAAATGGACGTGCTGGCTTTAAGATTCACGATGATAAACCTGCGAGTTTGTACTGAATATACTAGATTCAAATCGTGCGTCAATAGTGTAAATTGAATATACTAAGTAATAAACCTGGCATCTGAAGTCCCACAAAGCAACGTTTAAATTGAAAAATACACCATGTTGATCTAATGAGTTGAAAGTTGTCCCAGTGGCCTCACCCAGGCTCTGGTATTACAGCTCATACTCAAAGCTCTCATTACACCATTCTGTGGAGTTACCACTGGGAAAATTTTTGCTTATTAGCACGGGTTAACAAGGTAGAGAGATTATTTTGTGCACCCCTCTTCCTCCTCCTTTTTCTTCAGAGAATGGCGGTTGGTAATTAATATCAGCATATTGTATTTGAGTCTCTGTGATACTGTAGCAAACTCTTCCTGGGGTGGATATTTACAGGATGTGGAGAACTGCAGAACAGTCTTAAAGTGAGCATTTTCATAATCTGTGAATTTGCTTTAACTCATGTATCATTAGCACATGCATTTCTTGTGCTTAAGTTGCTTGGAATACTGGATTAGTCTGAGAGCTCTTTAGCATTTTAATGGAGCAGAGAGAGACATTTGACATTCCCATCATCCTTTCTGCTTACAATTTATGACACAGAAAAAGAATATTAAAAAAAAATCTGAAGGATAGAAAGGCAAAGGTAGGAAACGTCACTGCTGCACAACCTTTGGTTACCTTGTGTTTATACATTGTGATTCGTTATTTAAATGAGATCCTTTTAACCTAACTTCTTTGCACAGAATTTTCCAGATGTGTAATGGAAAAATAAGATATTCCAGCATGTGACTATACTGAATCCAGCGCATGCTATCAGCACATTTTATGATCATATAAATTCTTCACAGCCACCTTTGCCAATTAAGCTAACAGAGTAAGTGGTAAGATCTGTCTGTTAGCTTGTCATGCCCTCTGCGGATCAAAATTAGTTGGGACTGGAATGTGCCCTCGGCACCATAGTGAGCCTCAGCTCTGCCACGCTCTAGCTGGGAGTGTGCCCCATAGGGCACAGGTACTGCTGCTTTTTCTCCACAATTGTCTTTTTCCCTCTCTCTGTCTTGTTCTGTCCCGTTCACAACCTTTATCTCTCCATCTCAGACAACCTTGGTAAACGATTTCTTTTCCCAGCCAGTACCTTCAGGCCTTAACCTGTTTCCCGTCCCGTCTTCAAATTTCCAGCCCAAGGGGCTCTTTTCTTAGACTTCTCTCCTCCAGCCAGTCCCTCGTTCCTGTTTCGGAACCTCCACCTTGAACATTTTACTCCAGAAGCTCTTACCTCCCCACAGCTAGAGAGAGGGTAGCAGTGCAGAAACCCTGCAGGGCACACATCAGCCAGCAACTGCAGTTTGCAGAGAAGGTGGGCTCAGTGAAAAGGAAATTCACCTGCAAACATCCCCTATCGTGCCTCTACACAGCATGCACAAACTGTGGGTTTTTTTTTTTTCCAGAGGTGTGTAACTTGATGAGAAACTGAGAAATCAAGGGTATTTTACCAGCCCTGAAGACCATTCCTTTGGAAAATTCAAGTAATGAAGTCTTAGAAATATTCGAGCTTTTCGGAGAAGAGAGTGACAGTTTTGTTTTCAGCATGAGCAAAGTAATGTAATGGTGTCTAGCCCTGTTCTTAGAAATGGCTATGTAAGGTAGTATAATTATAAAAAACGTAACAACCTCCCTTCACCATCTCTTCCATTGCCAGCCCTCCCCACCAAAAGCAAAGTAGGATTAGGAAGACATCCAGCAGTGAAATCTGGCAATTCTGAATATTATTAGACTTTAACATAATCTCAGCTGTGATACATAGGTCCAGTCCACAGGCTCTACTCAGTCATAGTGTTCTTTTATGGTAGGCCTTACACCAACGTGTTTCCCAAATATCTAACAGTTTAAAATGTTGCGTACAAACTGATGTGACAAGCTACCAGAGAGAGTGAAAGGACAAGACTTTTCATTTAAAAGATACACAGTTTACTTTTGGGGCACTTGACTGTTTCTCTGTCTCTTGCCTACGCCACTAGTGTCATTAGGAAAACTGAAAGAAATAGAAAATTTAAAAGCCAGACACATTTCCAAAAATACTTTCTTTTCTTGTCTGAATTTTTGAAATAAGGTATATGGATAAAGAATAAAAAAAACAGGCCTGAGAAATCACCAAGGTCACTTTGTTAACTCTTACGCGTCTTCAGAAAGGTCGCAGCGATACAACAGGGAAGAGTGATTGCTCTTCCAGAGTTGAACAAATAAGAGGATCCTTTGGAGTTTTATGGGCCATTTCTGTTGATGTATGCAGCTCTTAACTTTGCCTGTATCTGAGAATAGCTTTATGCACACCTAGTGGCTCACTCTGCAAATTGAGCTTAAACCATGGCAAGGCATTCTCAAAAAGAAAGAACTTCCACATGGAATATGTAAATTCAGCAGATTTCCATTACAGGAAAACCCTTAATATCTTTTCAGCCGTCAACTCTGTTTTATGAAAACTGATGGCCCATGTTCTAAAAATTATTATCCAATTCTTCTTTATTTTCAAGCCATACTCCATGCACCTTTAAAAAAGAAGCTAATGGTTTTTCTTCTACTGTATTTTCCTTTTAAGACCTACGTGTTCTAAATGTGTTTAAACTAGCTTTAAAAATATGAAATTCTGCATGTGTTCAAAGCAATAGATTTCAGAGACATTAATTAGACCTAGATGTAGAAATATATCATGTTTCATAAAATAGTTAGGAACCTAAACCTATTTGTCACTAATACAGTTCTGGAAGTTCGTTTCTGCTACCATTACGAACAACTCAGGAAGAGGGTATACTTTGAAGTACAGCTATGATTGATTAGACTAAAGAAATTCCAGTGCTTCATTGCGTACTACTTTAATCTTTTGAAAAGTGAATGAACAGCAGATGGCCTAATAAAGACACTCTGTATGTTTGCCCAGTATGGATTTGCTCTGAAGGGATTGGTTCAGCACTTTAGACTACATGTATTTGGAATACATCTGTCTTTGTCAAGACAGATGGTCAAAGGAAACTTCCAAACACTTGGAACTAATCCAGTGTGAGCACCGCTTCTGAATGAAATTTTAATGGGATATGACTATCGTTCTGTTAGCTTTCTTGGAAGAATGCAGCTGTTAATAGTATAGACATGCAAGATTTTGATGGCTACTGTACAGGACTGTTTATGCTTACATTTGTAATAAAATATCATTGTTAGTACCTGTGTTCTAATCAGCCTGATGATAAGGAAGGAAATTCATTTTCTAGGACAGTTACTGCAGTCAATCTGATATCTTCCATCACTGCTAAGCTGATCAAAATTGTGTCCAAATAAGACATATTTTTCCTATCCAGTGTTGAAATTAAACTTGTTAATGTGAGAATTTAAACTTATATGCATGTTATTTCAATCTCATGCAATACCATATGTTAAATTACAGAACTCTTTTTAAATGGCAATTTTAATGCAACTTGCAAATTTGAAAGATCTATAGTGTGTGGATCACAGATTATGTGTGAAGTGTAGGTCTCTAAAATATAGTCAGAAGCATGCTAGTCAAGCTTAAAAGCTGCTATATGCTCATACCAAGAAAAAAGTTCTTTACAACATGAGTGATTTATGAGTGCCATGTTTTAATTTTTGTATTAGGATGTCACAGGTTAGATGGCATCTACTTAGATGAAAAGCTTTGAATTTCAATGAGATTTTCTGCCAATGTGACTTTATTAGTGTTTAGAATGTTTGGCTGTATTGATTTCATGACTTTTTAAAGTGACGTTCTCTTGTTTTCTGTTTTGCAGTAATAACAAGTAGCGGCTACAGTCCAAGATCAGCACATCAGTACTCTCCGCAGATATATCCCTCCAAGTTAGTGTCTGCACCTCTCCTAGCCTTTATAGAGATTTGACCTTGGCTCTAGGCAGTTCTGTGGTTTGTTGGAACTAAATGTTCATCAACAGAAAAAAGAAAGAGAGAGAGAGGAAAATAGTTAAGCCTCAGTACTGACTGCATTACCATTCCCTCTCCCTTTTTTTTTTTTCTCAGGTGGCTGCAGAATAAGATCCTACTTTGTGCAGTAACGTATTACTGCACAAGAAGTATCCTTGAATTTCTGCAAATAGTAGAGGAAAAATGTTAGATTAGTAGGTTCTCAGACATCAGCATCTTCGCTGTGCTGACAGTGTACACCAACGTATTTAAAGAAGACAGTTTATACTTTAAAATCACAATTGCATGTGGAAAATACATACTTAACGGTAACCACGCTCACATAGACCCCTCCCAGTACCAGCATTGCCAAATTGCCAAGTACTTCTAAAAATGTCAGAGTTATGAGCCACGCTTTCCTCTTCTTTCTCCGATGTTAAAAGATCTAAAAATCAAATAAATAAAATTAGATTACCTTTTGATCTGATTTATGAGTTGTAAAACAGTGTGCATTGTTAGGACCTTCTTTCACATTGTTTAGAGGAAAACAGTCTCTTAGCCAGTCATATGAATCCAGGAGTAGGAACTTAATGAAAAGCACTGAAGATACTATGATACTTCTGCTATTGGCAATCTGTATGCACATTTATTTGCATGTCCTGTGATCAATGTTTTGCACAAGGGTCTTTGATTTCAATATGTAATATATTTGTTTCTGCATATTTGATAGAGGTACCTAAGTGACTTTGAAATTTGATACAGAGAAAACACTGAAACTTTAGCTGATTAGACTTTTGCAGTTTTCTTTAACAAATTTGCATTTGTATCTTGATATAGTCAAGGTATAGAAGGTAAACTCCTCAACTAAGAACAGTCCTGCTTATTCCACTTAAAGCAAGTTTTGGCTGACCATGTCAGATATTCTTGGCCAAATACATTACAAGGTCTAGTAGAATTTTTAATCTACTGTAATAATTTATAGGCATCTAAATTAATGAGTAATCCTTTTTTGATATTAACTGCTGCCAACTGTACTGAACTAATTAGAAAAAAAAAAGAAGAAAAATAAATTAGAATCTGAAATTTAGTCATGGCTTTTAATGGCCAGGTTTCAGTTAGTGTAATTCTGCAGAGTGTGTTTATTCAACTCTTGGTCCATAAAATCTTATTTGACTTACAAAACAATCCAAGACAAATGTTTCTCTGTATGTTTTTGCAACTCTGGAGGGCAAAAATTTTAAACTTGATTTTATTCAATCTCTCTATAAAACCTCAGTATTTATAAATAAAAGACCATTTTTATTTCCATTCTATTTCCCTAGCCCATATTTTCCAAATGTTGAAAGCCCATCTGGTTACCAAAGTATTGCTGTCAATATTTTTCATGCTGTTCTCTATGGGCACAATCCATTTCCCACTGAAGCCAGACGCTACATGTCTATTGAAGCAGAACCATACATAGAGAACATAAATGTAGTAGCGTTAAAGTTCACCTCTAAATTCCCTTTTTTCTTTCACTCCTGCATGTGGGGCCAAGTTTCCCCCCACTGGATTAAAAAAGCACGAGGCCTTTTCTGATTTAAGCTTGCTGATCTTGGCTCAAAAGGATCAAAATCATGTAAAGCCATATTAGCAATGGCACAGTCTATCTGGAGCTGGACAAGAAGCTTGGGAATTAAATTGTAGTGATGGGACAACACAAAATATGTACAGAGCTTAGTAGAACGTCAACTAGAGTGTTTTTCAGCTTACTTCAGTGGGGGATGGAATGAATCCTGTAAGAGGAGCAGTTAGCAGAATAATGAACTGTCTTTGGACATTTTTGAACCTTTTTATTTACTTTATTGCTTGAATCAACGTACAAAGTATTTGTTGCCACAGTAATGCTATTTTTCCTGATATTTAGGCCCTATCCACACATTCTTTCTACACCAGCAGCTCAAACAATGTCTGCCTATGCTGGACAAACCCAGTATTCAGGAATGCAGCAGCCAGCGGTCTATACAGCCTACTCACAGACAGGACAGCCGTACAGCTTACCTACTTATGGTATTTGACCTCTTATTATTTACTTCACCTTACACAGAAGTAAGAGCAATGCTGACAGCATTCCTTGCTTTTTTTTTTTCTTATTTTCCCAACTGTAAGAAGATATTTTAAAGAATCAGTTGAAAATTGATTTCTTACACAGATTTGGGTGTAATGTTGCCAGGCATCAAGACGGAAAGTGGGCTCTCGCAGACACAGTCACCACTGCAGAGTGGGTGCCTCAGTTACAGTCCAGGGTTTTCCACCCCACAGCCAGGCCAAACACCATATTCTTACCAAATGCCAGGTGAGTATCCATCACTGCCGTGTGTCCTCCCATCGTTTTTCCTAGGACACTTCTTGTCAGAACACCTGAATTTGACCTCTAGGTACATATATGCAAAGGTATCTGAAAGATGCAAATGAGCATTTAATAGCATTTTCCAAAATGCCTGAACATAAGAGGTACCTAACTCTATTCATTCCAATTGATTTTGGTGGGATTTAAGTATCTTACCCTGATATACTTGAAAATACCTCAAGATGCCCACCGGTATATTGAAGGACTAATGATTTTGAAAAAATCTCATCTTTGACACTTTCTAAGAGGCAGCATGTATGTTAATGATAGATTTAAAAAAGAAAGTAATGTGATGAAATTCTGCTCACAAATCTGAAGAGTGCCGCATGCAGACATGCTGAAAGCGTTCTAGAGCTTGTTTCAGAAGCAAAAGTGAAATGAAATGCTGGCAGTTAAAGCCGGTAGGTCTGCATGTGACTTGGGAAGCATTCATGTTTCACCCTCAGTGCTGATGAAAATTAAAAAAATGAACACAGAAATGACCAACTAGCAGGTGGGGTGGAATGCCAGTTCCAGTTGTATCAGTGGGACTGAGAAAAGCTAGCTGAGAATTTGTCTCTTACTGTTGCTGGCCTGCTGTTTGCTCATATTTGTGGTCCATTTTCAGTTCATTTTTTGTGAACTATAACAAATAGCTTACCTTTTGCAGTTATTTTTACTTCTGTAATTTAAGGCTCAGAATTTGTTTCCATGACTAATATCCATGAATGAATTTGTTTTGATGATATGTTAATTTAGATCTAGTCATGCAGTGCAATCCCATTTGCACCTTGAGTTTTTTATGGGGTGAAATCACATGGCAGGACTGGAAGCAATTTTTATTTATTAAGGAACATATGCCCTGTGACATCATTTGAAACTTGTTTCCTTTTGGATTAAATAATGTATTAGAACGTCTCCTTAATTCGTATGTTTGTTTCCTCTATTTTTCAGTTATTAGTTCATTTATTATCCTTTGATCATCAGTGCTTTGTTTTATTTGGAGATTTTTTTAGTTTCTAATACAACGGTTAATCTTTTAAATAATACAGATTAGAATATTAATCATCTGACATATCAAGAACATGGACATGCCTCGTTACAGATCTATTAAAAACACCTGGCTCATTAAAATATTCTTTGAAAAGTTTTTTTTTGATTTTGTAAGTGAACATGCCCTAAAATGCATTAACTTCATAAATGAGGGAAAAAAACGAAAGAAGAAAAAGACCTGAAGAGAGTTGAGGCTGTAATGAACTGAAAAATGCTTTTTTGATCAGTATAATGACTTATTGCCAATACTTCCGTTCATAGAATGAAAAATAATGTATGCCTGGAAGTGGCACTTAGTTTCTTTTAAAATTCATTACAATGTTTTCTCATTTAAATGGAAAGTAGGAGTTGTTTGTTCCTCTGATTTATCTAAGTTCTCGCATGAAGTATTCTATTTAGAATTTTATTTTGATTCACAGACAAGTTCTTACGATTAATTATATTTTTTAATTTTAGGTTCTAGTTTTACACCATCATCCACTATTTATGCAAACAATTCAGTTTCAAATTCTACAAACTTCAGTAGCTCACAACAGGTATGAATATCAACATTTTTGTTTGTACTTTGCAAAAATACTTATATAGCTGATGATGACATGTTATTTTAAGTTAGAACTGTTAACGCTGAACTAGACTCACTGTTATTAGGTACTATTTTCAATTAGGTACTATTTTCAAATGAATTAATTAAATTAATTTTGATAAGCCTCCTCAAATTAATAAATATTATAAATCTGAACTAAAAAATAAAAATACGTAGAAATACTTAATGGAAAAATTATTTGTTACTCTACTTAGTTAATGGCATTTACTATTTTAGGATTATCCATCCTACACAGCTTTTGGCCAAAACCAATATGCACAGTATTATTCAGCATCAACATATGGCGCATATATGACCTCAAACAATACGGCCGATGGCACCTCTTCATCATCATCAACCTACCAGTTACAGGAGTCTCTCCCTGGCCTGACTAGTCAACCAGGTACAGATCTACATTCAGGTGAAAACCATTTTCGTATTTTATGCTGTACTTTTACTTATAAAAACTCCAAATTTCCTTGCCCAGCCTTGGTAAGATTGCATTCATCTTGAATGCTGACATTTTAAGCTGATGCCTCTCAGAAAACTTTATTTTTCAAGGAAACCAGTCAAAATAAAGTCATCTGTTCTGTTTTATTTTGTTTCAAGAAACATACATAATTTGTTTGTTAGTTAAATTAAACTTTGTAAATGAAGTGTTATCTGTGAAGGGAGTAGGTCTTTAAAAAGTCAAAATAATCTGATAGGGATCTTTTAGTACCCAAAACTACTGTTCAGTAACAAACCCTCAGTAAAGTTTGAAATAAATAAAAAAAAAAATCAGTGAGCTCTGCTATTGCTGACAGTGGAACATTACTGTATCTGCATACATATTCTGAAATATTGCTGTAAATAATTTAGAACAAGGTGTTGTTCATTTAATTATATCCCAGTCATGCCAGCAGGAGTTTGTGTGCTTTATTTAAAATATGTGCAAGCCATACTTGCTAATAGGTAACTAAGAACAGAGCTATCAGCTATTATCACAAGTCTTTTTAAAAAATAACATATTATTTGAAACGTATTTAAAATTGCAAAAGGAAGGCTCTCAAACTCAGATGACTAAATTTGCCTGCCCAACTCTGCCCCCTTGTGCATATGCACTATGATACAGCATTTTGTTACACAGTTGTATTCTTAGCGCGTGGCTTCTGGGTAAAGGCAACTCTTCAGTTTTTCTTTCTGTCGTTATAGTCCGGTTCGCAGCTATTTACTTGCCCCATTCTACATGTCACGCAGACACTGATGTTAATAAGGATTTTTTTTTGGCTAGACTTCTCTGGGGCGCTTAGTATCTCCTGAATATCTCACTAATTTATTTTCCACTAGAAAAAGAAAGAATAAAATTATATCTTTGAAATTGTGTCTTTGAAATTATGTGTAATTCAGTGAGGGTCTGAGAAGATCTCAATGGGCTAGTTTCGGAACTTAAAAGTACTAAATACAAAGCCAGATTAATGTGGTGTGCCTCTAGGGTTAGTGGAGCCTGCTTTTTCATGCTGACTTTTCTATATTGTTTCCATTATTCTAGGAAGTTTTTCTAAAAGATCTAGTTCAGTACTGTGTCATATATGTACATCCCAAGCAGTCTACTAAGGCTATGTGTAGCCCCTGTGAGAGAGACAATAACTTCCCAGCAGCCTGGGCCACTGCTGGTGGAACACCTGCTTCGCTCATACAGCATCGGGAATGTCTGCCTTACCCACATCTGTGAGCATTTATGAAAAGACTAACAAATTTCAGTGGGTGTGGATCAAACTCTGCATAAAGATATCGTACTTCGATCACAAAATCAGCTCACTGCACAAATCTTCCCAATTCTCATCTTAACAATTGACCTGTATCACTGAAAAGTATAGTAGAATACATACTGTTTTATAATAATGAATTTGTACAAAGGAAGGGTTTTTATATTGTCTAGCAAAGTATAGGCAAGACCTCATATTTCAGAAAGAGCCTACTTTGAAGTGCTTAAATTTGCTAAAAACTTTGCAAACTTTAATTGCGTGAGCTGACATTCTTCCTTGCCAGGCGTTTTCCTCAGGCTGATTTTTAAATTGTGTGTGTGTGTGTGTGTGTGTGTGTGTTGTGTGTGTGTTTGTGGTACGCTATGGGAGGGTATGGATATGGGGAGATGCACATTCCTGTATTTTTGATAAATGTTTAAAACGTGAATCAGTAGTCTCAGACCTGAGTACAAGTTGAAGAGGAAAAGTTAAGAGGTAACTTACAATCAAGTGAAATCTAACAGTTGCAGGACATCCATAATAGATCATATGTAATGTATTTTTAGATTGCAAAGAGCACTCACAACTGATGTTTTGATAATTACACATTTCCTGTGTATCTTTCTTGTTTCTCTGTTATTCTTCTATATTTTAAGTTGAGAAAATCAGACAGTGTTTGCCCTTTGTTTCATCTATATATCTGTGTTTCCTAGAAATGCTGTAATGATATATTGTGTATTATGAAATGTCTTTGCATAGAATAGCTTGACAGTAGAAGAGAATATTACATAGACTGAACAGCTGAAAATAATATTGAGGGCTGCACATCTATGAAACAGTAAGGATTTTGTCTTCTAGATGTTTGTGGATTGTTTAAGCATATGTACCTGTGTTCCTGTTAAGTAACTTGTGCATCTAAACTTGTAAATCTGCCCATACACTTATTTCTGTGAAGTGTTGAACTGATCTTGCGACTCTCCTTTGAGAGCGCGGCACTCACTCTGACAATACGTGACATGCATATGCCCTTGTCTGTCACTATAAAAATACACTTGTCTCAGTGAGGTGCAGTGTCTTGAACCTGGAGATCACTTCAGATAGAGTAGATCATACTTCAGTTCTGCAGCCTGACTCATCATGTTCACTTGCTATCTGACAGACCTTCATTGTTTGCTAGCTTAAAACCTAAGGTTAAACCCAGTAAGGCACTTCACCCTTCTACCATCTCTGATGGCTGTTAATTCAAATAACCCTCAGTATTAATTAATACTTTGTTAATTCAAAGCCCTCAGTATTCCCCACACATACAGCATTTCTTGTTTTGATAGTAAACCCCCATCAGTTCAAGAGTTAAAAATCAGTTACAATTTTATTTGTTGGCTGAGTCGAAAAAAAAAAGGTGAAAATTTAAATAGACATTACTCTTTCTGCTGCTCGTAACAAGCAAGACACATTACAAGGAAGTAGAAACAGGTAGGAGGTATAACATTGAATCCGTTTTCTGGCTGCTCTCTCTGATATCCTGTTGCTTTAAGAATACGTAAGAAAAGTCGATCAGTAAAGCATGTAGGATGAGGCTTAGCAGTTCATCCAGTCCACATCTGTGTTAGGTTCTGCTTCTTTAACCTTTCTGTGGACTTCTCTTTTTTTATCATACTTGGCCTAACTTAAGATATTTCAAAATACAATCATTACCACAGCATATCTGTGTGCAGACAAAGAGGTATCTCCAAAGGGAGTTCATCTTCTCCTAGGATAAGGCAGATGAATCTTTAAGGGATTCTGCCTCAGGTAATGAGTTCATATAATTAATCTAAGGCAGATAAAATTCTAACAGAGGAAAGAGGTCTGTAGGGCACTTAGGTAAAAGCTTCAGATTTAAGCCCCTTACTTTCATATGTCCAGAGTTAGGCAAGATGAATCACTCAATATATTAGCTCCAATTTCATTAGTGGGATACAGCAGAACTTGGTCTCTCTTAATTTGGTACCCACAAGGAAGCCATCTTTTAAAACTTCTCTAGGAGATGGTGTTATCAAAAATACAGCAAAGGTGTAAAGATACGCAGACAGGGACTGAAATATAGCTAGCTGTCCATTATAACAAGCACTGAGAGAGTTCAGGTGTCTGGTCACAGTAACGTTGTTCCATAATGCAATTACAAATATGCTGTCAATTTTTAGTGTGGCCTGGGCCATGTTCTGTCAGCAGCTTTACTCCATGCTTCGTTGATTATTCTATGTTATCAGTCATGTGATATTACAGTCGCTGGAGAGATTATTTCCAAAAATGGCTCTAGGGTTTGCCTCTCTTAAAAAAAAAGAGGTTCCTGGCAAAGATCCCAGTTGCTTGAGGGACCTTTTGAGCTGTGACTGGGCCACTGGGGCTCAAAGGTAGCAAGCTGCACGGAAGCCTCACTGACGGATGGGGAGGGGTTTCAGTGCTCCCTCCTTCTGGCAGAATTTGGTGAAAGAGCTGGAACATGTTCACCTTGAACAGACTAAGAGCAAGCCCAAAGCAGTGGTGCTAGCTTTCCTCCTGTATGCTGCCCTCATTACACATGACAGAAGTTGTTATTGAGCCCTTGCTTTGGCCGATGCCCACACACCTCTTCCCTCCTTAAGTAGCACAATTTAAGGGTGTTTTAACAGGAAGGGACACTCACACTGAACTACAACTGAGAAAAAAATGTACTGAATATGAAAGACCACCTCCTTTTATAACATGCTGGACATGAAGTAGTGTATGAATATCTTAACGTCTGTGAAAAAGTGGTCATTCCATGTTCAAGTTTTAACATTTTCCTTTTTACTTACTGGATCTGTGATGCTGCTGCTCATAGTTCTAGTGAGTGATGTTCATGAAATATATTTATTAGACATATGTTGAATATTGAAAAAGGTAGAAAATTTCAAACATTGTAGTAAAAATTTCTGTCAAATATGAGCTACTCTAGGTACTCAATATGAGATTAAGGTTTTCAGTAGTCTAGAATTTCTCATGTACTCTTTTTATGATATTCATGGCTGAATTTTTAAAAAGTTTTTCTTTCACCAGCATTGACTATCAGAATTTCTAAAATAAGCAGAGGAAAAGAAAATGCAGTTGCTCCTTTAGCCTGCTGTTACTAAAAAGCGAATCAAGCAATTAAGCCTACAGTTGTTCAAAAAACCATGCACTACTGACTTCTGCAGTTCTAAAATAGATGCATACCTTGCATTCAAGTAAGAGACAGCTGGTCATTCTGATTTAGAGATTAGCTTAATGAAATAAAGTTGGCTCTAAATATCTAGAACTTACAAGGTACAGTGATTAGTTACAGTACTGATTAATGGATAATTAGGCAATCATGTACAGTGTTGACCCAAGCAGAAGCCTGGGGCAACTGGTGATGACTAATGCTAAATGAAAATTGAGGTTATTTACCTCAGCTACAAGATGCTTTCAGAGAAGATTTAGAACAGGGGGTTGTTAAATTTTATTTTTTGTAGAGTAGAGTAAACACAATCATAGAGAACAGATGTTTTAATGCATTACTGTAGAGATGAGTCTTGATTTTGTTGTAAAATGGTAAAATTTTATAAATATGAGAACTTTTGTGGTAAGAATGAAATAATTCATGCTCAGTTATTTAATTTTTTGCCTTTTAGTTGCTGAGTTTTTGTTTTGGAAGTTTTTTCTACTTTGTCCGAAAAACTAGGAAATTATATTTTTGTACATAAGTGTTGCATACTCACTTTTGAAGTCAGTGCAGATTTTTGCTGCGCAAGGAATCTAGTTATGAAGCTTCTTTTTGTGCAAAGTATATTTTGCTATGCTTTTTATGGAGAAAGAACTAAGATAATGTGACCTTAACTGATCTCTCCACTGCCTGCAGTGTCCTTACTGACATCAACACCATGCTGGGAATAGAAGTGATTAGTCAACAAGAACTCCCTCTCTCCATTCTGTAGGGATAAAGTAAAAACACTATAGGATCCTTATTTATTAGGTATTATTATCACTGCTTAATTTCCCCATTATTTCTTAGCAAATGAGTCTTAGTTAAAGATAAAATACTAAAGACTACAAATGAACCATATCCAAATCAGGACAGAGCTACTTAAAACGTTATCTGGAGCGGATTCTCAAGTTACAGTTTTTAGAACCTCTTCTTAGGTGCTGCCTGAAAGTTTGGCTTTGTTCTGTGTAAGTAGAGAAGCGTATTGGTTTTGCAAGACTGAACTATTCATCATCTAATTTGAGAATAAAGTACTAGTATCTCCTTCCAGGCCATAGCAGAATAGTTAGGATACTTTCCCAGGAAGTGAGGGATACCGACTTAATTTCCTCCTGTTTCATGGAGATTGGTACCATCATCGTCCACATGGGGGTACAGGGAAGTGGATTCTGGGCCTTGAAAATATGTCTCTCTTTGTACTTCACGTTTATCAGTCATTCAATCAAATAAACAAGTGTGCCCTGGAGAAGGCAGTGGAACCTAGATATGTCCCTCTTCTAGGTAAACATCTTAACTAATAGGCTGGGTAATTGTTCTTCTTCATGTTCTCCCCTTTCCTTGAATCTTGAATTTTTTCTTCATCATGTCTAGAGCTCCCATTCTGGAATGCGATATTATGGGCTTAAATTCTCACAAGAAATACAACAATATTTTTTCCAGGCCAGATACTAATAAAAATATCTTCTCTGTCTTCTATAAGAATATCTTCATAATAAACTTCTTTATATGATTCCCTGTAAGGTATAAAGAATTACATGATGGAAGAGATGAAGGATTTAACTCTTATGTTACTCTCAGGCTGTTAATTGGGATTACAGACATTTTTTTCTTCTAAATCCTGGGGTCTGCTAGACTAGAGTTGTTTGCTGCCTTGTTGTGGAGGGAAGATGAGGTGAATGACTCAGAGAAAACCACAGAAACACAGAATCATGTAGATTGAAAGAGACCTCTACAGAACTTTTGGTCCAGCATGCTCCCAGAAGGGCCAACTTAGATGGACTTGCTCAGGGTTGCGTCCAGTCGAGTTTTGAATATCTCCACGGATAGAGAGTCCATAGCCTCTCTGGGCATCTGTCGCAGTGCCTGACCATTCTCACAGTAAAGATTTTTTTTTCCTTATATCTAACAGGAATATCCTGTGCTGCAACTTGTGTCTGTTGCTTCTTTTCCTTTGTCTGTACACCTCTGAGAAGAGTCCTTCAGCCTTTCCTTCTTCATGTTTTCCAGATCCTTACCTGTCTTGGTGGCCCTCCACTGGTGGCCCTCCATTGGATTCGCTTTAGTTTGTCAGTATCTCTGTTGTACTTGGGGACCCAAAACTGGGCATTTTGCCAGGCGTGGTCTTGCAAGTTCCAAATAAAGGGGAAAAAAACAGTCATTTGATCTGCTGGCCACTGTCTTTTTAATACAGCCTAGTATGCGGGTTGATCTTCATTGCTGCAAGGACACACTACTGGCCCATGTTCAGCATGGATCCAGCAGGATCTTCAGGTCCTTTTCTGCAGAGCTGCTACCTGCCAGGCAGCAGCCTCTACTATTGCATATTTTATCCATCATTGATTGAGGACTCCTACATCTTTTATATTTTACATTTTTTACATTATGTATTTACATTGTGTGAAATTTGTGAAGCTTCTGTCAGCCCAATCCTCCAACCTGTCAAGGTCCCACTCTGTGACAGCCTTGACCTTCAGCATGTCAACTACTTCCACAGTTTGGTGTCATGTTTAGAACTGCTGAGGATGCACTCTGACCCCTTGCACAGGTCACTGAAGAAGACATTAAGCAGAATTAGTCCTAGTATCAGCCCTGAGGAACTGTTGAGCAATGTGAAGTACTTAAGCACTCTCACTATGAAAATTTTTTTACTTGTATGTAATGAGGATATGCATGATTCTGTCCCTTTCACTCAATGGTCAACCAGTTTTTTACCGAAATTTCTAGTACACCCATCTGGTCCACATCTCCTTGAAATGCTATGGCCATGCTATGCCATGTTGAAAGCCGTTCTAAAATCAAGGTAAATGACACCCACTGCTGTGTCCATGACCAAAGAGCAATCATAAAATATCTTCATGAGTTAGGATTTTCATCAATATACGCCAATGCTATACATAATGGTGCCTTCTGATTTTGAGTGGCATGTGGTCAGTGTAGTGGGGAAGAAGCCATGTATGCTCATGAACAACCTCAAAGTTGTATTGTTTCTGTTAGACTCTTTTGGATTTCTGTGACTGGAAGACTTCAAAATGCTTCAAAAAACTTCTTTCCACAAATAAACTTGGAAATATTCCTTATTTTGACCCGTATGACCTGATCTTTTTCTTTCACAGTGATTTTTGTTGGTTTATATAGCTGATGTTAATAGAAATATTCTTTAAAAGGGGGAGGAGAGGAATAAAATAAAATAAGTCTTGTAATATTCCTTAATATTAATTATAAAATTCCATTCCAAAGTTCTTCAGCTTGATTTTAAAACACAATATAATATCTGTGAGGAAGTCTCTTGAATGTATAGTAATGAAACAGTAATGACACTGCTGAATTATCTTACCCATGGTTTAGGGGTCAGTTGCCTCTGCTTTTCAATCAGTGCAAATTCTTCCTGTTACTCCAAAGATTTAAGCCACGTTTACTTTTCAGATGAAATAAAAAAGAAAATCCAGTATGTTAAAAGATTACAGGAGAAATCTTTGTCCTCTGTTGCCTGGTGGGCTTTGGTGTCCGTAGTTAATTACTCTTTAATAATAATGAATAATGTTCAGATTGCAGCTCAAAATTGGGTGCATTGTGGATGGTTCCTGGGAAATGTTTGTCCCGAGTATTAATTTATTCTGAAGATGTGCCATCATGAGTACTTGTAACAAGTATTACAAAAGTGACCCAGAAACACACAATTACATACAGCTCAAGGACACTCTTGAATCAGACTCTGTAATAGATGCCAGATCTAAGCTGCACCTGTTTCTTCTTTAATAAAGAAAAATAAAATCATTAATAGAATCGATGACAAAGGAGAATTTATGTCATTTAGCACTCGGGAACCTAGACAAACTACATTTCTTCTTCTTCAAAGCACATTTGTAGGGGCACTGGAGATACTGTGTTACAAAGAAAGGGTAATTTCCAGTTACTGAGCTATGGCATAAAAATTCTTTATTAGGGCAAGTTCCACACCCTTCAGTCTGTCTGTCTTGCAGTAATATTGGTTTGCAACCACTTCCATACTGGTTTGTTACCAGTAGAGGCAAAGCAGATTAAATGAGTAAGTCAGAGATAAACCTGTATGGTAAGAGCAGCTATGCCATGCCAGATCAGAGGTCCTTCTGTCTCGGTAATTTTTTCTCTGACAGCAAGCAGTAGCTGGTACTTACAGAAGGATGATTAGAAGACAGTAAGTATGACTTGGTGCTTTTTCTTGTAGTATCTGGAGCACTGCATTTAATATTGTGACTTTTGTCTGCTAATTTATGTAGTTCATCTTTGAACCCATTTTGTTCTTAACCTTTGCTGAGTCCCATAAGAACAGACTCTACAATTTATTAAAATACTTCCTTTTTGTTTCGAATCTACTGTTCAGTAATTTAATTGGTTAAGGTATGGTAAAAAAAAAAAAAAAAGTGTACTCTGATAAGGAGCAGGTGACATGGGAGGAGGAAGATGATTGGGGATTCCAGTATGTGGAGGAATACCGAAGGGCATTCTGGTAAAAATGACACAGGACTTGGAAATAAGCCTAGCTGAACTCTAAAACATTGGAAATAAACTACTTTAACTAAAAAGCACTTCATGTTTTGGAAAATATGACTTTTTTTAGTATGACTTTTAAAATGCACCTCCCGTGGATATATCAGTATTTTTGCACATGCTCATGTGTATATGTATATATGTCTGCACATCTGTCTGTATGTAACATTTTAATCTTTCTCTTATTCTACCAGGGTTTATAAACATTTCCTTGATAAAGTCAGACGTATTTGTGACATCTGCAAATTCCATCTACATAAGACAAATCAAGGATCACTGTTTTTCTTACAACTTATTGTGGTGTGTCTTGCAGTTGGGTTGCCAAATAGATATTTAAGAGCCACTTTAAAAACTGTATTTCTTATTTAAAAATCCAGCATTAATTTTGCAATGAATGGTTGACTTTACAGGGGAGTTTGACACAGTACAGAGTCCCTCAACGCCAATCAAAGATCTTGATGAGAGAACATGTAGGAGTTCTGGGTCTAAGTCCCGGGGTAGAGGACGGAAGAATAATCCATCACCCCCTCCGGACAGTGACTTGGAGGTATGCCCTGTAGTAATTGATGAGTGGTAATGTCGTGGTTTCTTCTGATGGAAAGTAAATTCTGCAAATTACAGCTGTGGAAACAGCTTAGAGCTTTTCAGAAAACAGCATGGACTCTTTTATTAACTGAATATAACAGAACTTAGTGGCCATTTTAACATACACCTACAATGATACATTGCTGTTCTGTATGAGGAAGTTAGATATGGGATTCATCCTTGCGCTTTTTAGCCGTATGCCCTAGTCTCTTTCAGTTTCTCATGCAACAAAACCACAGATGTGAGACTTCTGTGTTCCAATTAATCACAATTAATTTTTCTTTTTTTTTTTTTAAATAGGAAGTGTCAAATGTATTATTCAGCATAATTATGCTTATTTATGAATGCAGAGAAAATAGGCAAAATTATCTGGCCGTAACCTTTCAAACACTTAAGTACAAGTTTGTCTTTATGCTTGTCAGTAATGTCGTGGATTTCAGTGAGGCAGCTTATATCAGTGAAGCGATGGCTATACTTTATGTGCAAGAACACAGCCTTAGTGAAGAAGTACATCTGCCTAATATACAAGGTGATGATTTAAAGTTCAGGTGACCTCTTAGCAATTGAGTAATTAATAGTGTCATTACTCCTGTGTTAGCAGCGCACTGCCTTACAGTGACAAGAGGAGAAAGAAGCTTAGCGCACATATGTGTGAAACACTTCAGCTCTGGCATCAGAGGAATGTGCTGCCTGTGTGTGTCATGTGTCTCCTTCTGCCATGAGACTGGCACTCTAGCGAGCGAGCAGCCTGGCCAGCCCTGCACTGCCTCTGTGTTCACTGAACATCTCTGTGTGTAACAGAGGACATAATTTGCTAGGGCTTGGCTGGCAACACAGGTTCTCCTCGGGTGACAGGGTGGCCTGCAGTGTTAAGCATTGGCTGTAGGTGTCATTGCATACAGAAATTATTAAAATTTTTTCTACTTTTCCTACTCTTAAAGGCATATAATTTTTCTAGGGAAGAGGCTGTAACTTTTTATATCAGTTTTCCTGTTACTTGTATAGTTTACTAGTGAAAATGAACACAAATCCCTGATCAACATAAGGAGTTTCTTTCTTTTTTTAAGTTAGAATAATCCTTTTTAAATATTACTTACATTATATATTCTGTGTGGCATATCTTACCAAAGACTTAATATTAGCTATGCAGGAGAAACAAAAAGAGCCTTGAATCAGTAAGATTTGTGCAGAGGTAGGTGAGAGTACTATTTATCGTTAAATTAATAGTCATGTCTGACCCAGAGTTTTTTGGCATCTGTGTTATGCAGCTTAATTTGAAAAGCTCGTTGAAGGAAGAGTAAGAGCTTGTTGAGCAACGAAAATGCTACGGTCCTAACTTTTTACCAATAAATGTACGATACACCATTCCTGATGATTTTCAGAGATAACCTGCTTGATTAAACAATTAAACTTTAAGATATGACTAAGTTGATTTTTGGCTGTTGGGGTGGTGGTGGGGCTTTGATGTTATTTGTGAGCTTATAGTGTCCCCGCCTCTGTTTTCAGCGTGTATTTGTTTGGGATTTGGATGAAACAATCATAGTTTTTCATTCGCTGCTGACAGGATCCTATGCACAGAAGTATGGCAAGGTATGTAATCCATGAATTCCGTGTTGATTGACTGCATCATAACTATCTGGCCTGTATATGATTTTCACCTTTGGTGTTCATAATGGTTTGGGAGAGGATAGATGGTAAGGCATACAATAAAACCCCTTTTCAGAAGGTTAATGTGAAAAAAGTCAAGTGGAGAAATGAGACACAGACCCTAAACACTATATGAGGCGGGACTGAAGCAGAGGGAAGACTTCATAGAGGAACAAGGATGAGGTTCCTGAGATCCTGAGATATTGCAGGGTGATAATGGGTTTATACTGACAGTATTTGGATGCACAGAGGAAGAAAGAACAAATAAATTGGAATATGGAAAAAGAACACAACTAGTGAATTTACAGGGAAATTGATGAATCAGGAGGGGTAAGGGAGAGAGTGAGCTGTTTAAATGCCAACTGCAGATGTTATTCTTTGACTCCCCAGCTTTTCCTCTGAATCTCTGGTTCCCTTGGCTAGCTCTAGGGTGAGTAATGCTAGGGAGTGAATCCCTCTACCAGCCAGTCAATTGTACTCATCCTCTGCCTTGTGATGAGATCCAAAAGAGGTTCAGGTCATGGAGCAGTGAGCGGCAAAGCATCAGGGAGAGAGCGAGGGAGAGAAAAGCAGTGGCATCCTGAAGCAGCAGAACCAGGAGTTCCCCTGTTGATTCAGCACTGGGCCCCCTGTGAGGCTCAGGTCTTGAGTGTTGGGGAATGGCTGTTTGGGCAAGGGGTAAAAGACTGGGGAGAAGGAGCTGGTTGGAAGACGAGTGGGTTGCAGAGGAAATGGACTGCTGTGAAGGGTAGATTTTAAGATCTGGATAAAACGAAAAATTAGAGCAAATATATGGAGGAGAAGAAAATGGACAAGGAGGAGGGTGGACATCACAAAAAAGTCCATGGAGTTCCTGCTGTGAAACTTAGAAGGGTGTGGAAAAGCGTCCTGTTTATTTGATATCCTTACTGTTTTTCTGCTTTTGTCACCTCTGCCTAAGTATACCTGGGGATAGTATGAACACCCTGGTGTCTGGGATGGCAAAGCTGTTCACCAATTGTGGGATGAGAACCATCTGCAGAGCTGATTGTTTGTGCAAATATTTGTGTGAAAGAGAGACAGAGAAGCCCCTCTTGTGAAAGATCTTTTTGTTAATGAATAAAGGACAGGGGAGAGGATGTGGGTATGTACATATGTGGGTGCAGAAGGTTTTCTAGTTATTGTGCCACTCAAGTGTAATTAATAAAGAGGTATTTCTTTCTAAGAACATAACTGTGTCCATGTGATGTCAGAAGAAGGGCTTGCTTAGCCTAAGTTTCCTGTTTCTTAACTCCAGCCAGAATCAGATGCTGAAGAAGCAACTGTGAGAAACAGGACATTAGAGAAATGATTTCCACACCCGACCTCCCCAGTCAGTGGTTTACAGATTTCCTAAGCCAGAATTTGCAGTATACAACCTTTGATGGGCCAGTCCTCTGTGTTTCAAGACAGCTGTTTGTGCTTATGAAAAGAGAAAGCTAATAGGAAAACTCACAGGCCCAGACAAAAATCTGTTTTTCTGGAATGTTAAGATAAGAGTAGTTATTCATCTCTTGCATAAAATATGCTTGCCTGTTTTGCAGCTTCACAGTGCCAAATCAGTGCACGTTTCAGAACCTTGTCAAAAAATTCCTCTTCTGCTATTTTTCAAGCACTATAACAACAGTGACTTTGTCAGAGCCATTTCTAACTTATACCTATCAAAACAAGAGAGGAACATAAACATGAACTTTTATATCACCTTTGAGTGTAGGCCATATACCACCAGAGGACTTGCTGAATTGCCCCAGTGATGCAGTCATTTCTTTCCTCCTGTTTGATTATGCCCTTAGGATGTTTGTGTCTGATGCTACACCCTTTGCCATCTCAGAACATAAGTGGTCAACACCTCAGTCAGCTTTCATATAAATTTTTAGAAATCAGAATGCATTTTATAATCCTTAGGCGTTTACAGATAACTCTGAAAACTGTCTTGGAAACAGCTACAGAAACATAATTTTTCTTGGTTTCTAACTTCATTATCAGTAGGGATATTTGAAAAAATCCCTCTACCACTGCTTTTTAAGAACTCATCTGTTCCTATAATCAACACAAAGTCCTTAAAACAGTAATGGCATATTAACAGCCAGTAGTAATGACAGCAAATAAAGTTAGCTTGTATAAACCAAGCCACCAGTAACCAAACGTCATGAACGACCATGAAGCAAAAGAAGAGGAATTATTAAATAAAATACTTCATTTTTTTCTACTGAGAGGCCGCACCCATGCAAATAGGGAAGTGTATTCATTCCCACGAACAGTAAAATTAAAGTAGTAGTCCATTTTTTGCAGCAACTACCTGTACCTTATTTTTGGAGAACTTGTTAGGAACGTGATAAGAAATTAGCAGTGAAACTCAAATATATGTTGTAATTTCTTATCTCGTAGCTTATACGTTGCTGACTGCATGGAGGCTCAGGCAGTAGGAAAGGGAAAACAGTGAGAGCTTACATGACTAGACTCTAACTTTAGCATGTCTAAACTTAGATGGGATGTATCTGAGCCTAAGTGCCTAAGAGGTTAGACATGGTAGATGGAAAATATAGTACAGATGGACCTCAGTCAATTTTAGGGGCATGACTTCTTTAGCAGATGTGGCCCTTGTGTTTTCTGTGTATGATTTCAATCTACAGACAAGGTCTTATTCCAGAGTAAAATCTGGATTGTAAGGACAGTTGTGTTATTATGAGAATAAATACTCCATTAATTGTGAAGTTCTCAATGGAAGTCTTGTGAGAACACTGGTGTTTTAAAAGTGCTGTAGGTTCTGTTTTTTTCCTAGAAAGATGGTATAAAATTATTACTTCACAATTAAAAAAATGTTTAGGGTAGTGTCAAGTAGCTGCAATACTTGGTGATTTCTTTGCAGTGATTTGCTATCTGGCTTTAAAATTTGAAGATGTGTAAAGTTGCATTGAAGCTCAACTGTGTTTAGTGTGCTCTTCCGTACTTTGTACTTTCAAGAGATAAGATGCTAGGTTTAGAGCCAGTGTGAATGTACAGGATATATACAGACAGGTCAGGATATTCCTTCAGTTCTATCCCATCTACTCCTTGATATGCAAACTTTCATTCCCCTCTTTCAGTAGCTCTTTGCCCTATTTCTTGCAATGAGTAGGCAAAACCAAAACATTCAAAAATGAGTCTCTTAATCCTCTGTGCTCTGCTGCAATTCAGACAGTGCATGGAATGCTATGAATAGAAATGCAATATGTGGAGATGGCTGTCATGGTCTTATAGCCAGGTGGGTGGAGAGACCAATGTATATGTGGAGAAGCTCTTGAGAGTCACAGTGGTGCCAGCAGACAGTCTCTTTCTCGAAAGAGTTCTACATTTTAATAGGCATTTCAAGTTGAAGAGAAAAGAGAAAGGAAAACTAGCATCCACTAGAAGAGACAGATAACGGGGGCTTTCATTAGCAGAGATAATGTGGGAAGGCCTCAATCCAATAAAATCAAGTTTCAGATCATGTATTTGTCAAGAGAACGTCAGATTTCTGACCTAGACCTGAAGACTTCTACATTTTAGAATGGACGCTCTCCTTGCTATATACTTGTCCAGCACTTTGCATGGAGTGATACTCATTTGATTTCAGAATTATGTATCACTGTTACAGGAAAGCTATGTTATTGTAAATACAAAACTAATGATTTGCCAAAAAGATTTAACTTGGAGGATCCCACATTAGGTATCTCATTTGAAACGCAGGGCAAATTGCTTCTTCTTAGGTAGGCACCAGTGGAGTATAGCTTTAAATTCCACTGGAGTGGGAGAAATTTGACCAGAGGTTGGTCAATGTATCACTTTAAAACATCAAAACATAAAACTTACCAGAGGAAGACTCTCTGCCTTGTTGTTTTCTGCCTGTGGGTGTTTCTGTCTGACTTTGGTGTAGTGGTTATTTTATTGGGCTGGTCAGAGCTAATACAAATAAATAATAAGAACTACACCTCTGTTAGGTTCCAGGTAACTGTTCTCTTTCCCAGCAATAAGAGTATTTCTCATGGTTCATCTCGTTTGTTCATGTGCTTCATATTTTATAGAACTAGTACATTCTATTTTTAAGTATTTACTGCAGTAAGAAATTATGAAAATTGGCATTTGAGCTGTTACATTATGACTTGTGTGGCTGATTATGGTTTTTGCAGCTGAGCACCAGTTGGCAGATACAGTTTTCTACAAGGCTGAACTCTTAAGTAAGGATTTGTTGATGTGACAGAACATGTGTTAGGAGACTATCATTATCTGTTAATGTTTATAAGGGACGTTCTTATTCCCTGTGAACAGTGTGTATTCTTTGTTCCATTCTATTCCAGCTATTCTCACTAATTGAAGGTGATTAAGCTGAAGTTTTGTCTTCCTCAGAGCATTTATATTTCTAACATTAGGAATTCATTCATTTCTCCAAGGTCAATGCAGAGGGCAAGGATGCGTGGATAAATGCCATGACTCAAGGTGCAGCCTATCAAGAAAGAAAGAAAGTCTCTCATGACAATAGAAGGGTGAAAATGGGATCTTCAGGTGCAAAAATCAAAACAAATGAACACTTGATGATCACATTTTGACATTTTTGATGGAAGAGCTAACAGCAAAAAGTTGCCCGAGAGGTCACATTAACCTTGTACGCTGCTCTGGAAAGGGCCTAGAAGCGTGTTATTGCTCACACTGTGCTTGTCCGGTTGTTAAACAGAAGAACTTTGTCACCATTAGGGCCCAGGATAACACTCATAAACATGCCTTTGTCCCCTCATATTAATACTGTATCTTTCATGACCTCCAGATGTGCTCTCCATTCACTCCCTGATTGTCTAAGGCCTCAGTCCATTTTCCTACTGCCTTCTGGAGTGCATGGAGCAGAAACTCCTTAGGGGGGGAGTATGTGAGTTTTCATTCATCAGCTACCAGATACAGCTTTTACGAGATGTATTCGCTGCGTCCGTTGCCACCTTCATAACACTGTGCTAGGAACGAGTATCCTCTATGAGAGCATGAGAACTGAACTTAAATCTGAGATTCCTGCTTCATGTAGGGAAGTGTCTGTAAGCTAAAAACGTTAGTGTTTAACTTCAGCATTTCTACTTTTTCCAGAGGATGCTGCTGTTTTAAGTCTATTCAGGACAGTCACCTATTGAATATCTATTCTCACAGTATTTTTCACATATTTTACTTGTTTGCTTGCTTGACTTTTCTGAAGGCTTCATGTGTACAAAATTGGGTCAAACTGAATCTACCTGTCAGTCTATTTGCCTGTTTGTCTTCTTCTTCTGAGATTTTATATAGAATACTTTGATCTGTTTTTTTTTTTTTTTTACAAAAAATGAAAGTATTTTAAACATATTTTGCTGAAACCTGACCTTCCCAGATGATACTAAATAATTTTCTTCCACTAATGGATAATGGATATGGAGCTTTTGGGGCTCTATTCGAGACACTGACGTGCTTTCCTCTTTGTCAAAATATATAAATATTGCTCTTCCCAGGTTATTTTTACCTAGTCTCCCAGGAGGCATTCCAGTGGATGGACCAGTCTAGTGCAGAAGTCAACAGACAGACAGTCTGGCTCCAATTTAGTGCTTTCATAGTAACGTAGCTAAAGTCATTTGTATTTTGGTATACAGAAGTGCTGTAGCTGATCTTGACTCCTTTGCATGCTAGTAATATCTGGCTAAGTATCATGCCTCTGAGGGCCAAAGAGTTGTGCTTTTTTATTCAGCAAATCATCTGGGGAAAACTTTCAGTGTTTTTATTATTATTATTTCCTCTTTTGTGTGTGCTTGTGCGGAGTAGCACAGAATACCATTTTGGCAGAAGTTCAGTCTGCTTTTTATTCAGTTTCTCAGTTTGCTGTGCTCAAATCTATATCAGCTGCACATGTGTCTTGCTTTCTTTTCAACATTCAGTTAGTTCTTTGTGCCACTTGAGTCAGTCTGCAACTTCAGCTTCAAGCTGAAAGACAGTAAAATGATGATTGTGATGTTCCTCCACATTCTACAAACATTATGAAACCACTAGACCTTGACAGTCTGCTTCCTCTATCTGTTTCTGTATGTGAAGAGGTAGACTTAAATGGCAGGAGCTGGAACTTGATGTCTCATACTTGTTAAACAGTTGCAGTGCGAGTTTCGGCAAATTTATTGAAGGGAGAATAGTTTGTGCCTTGAGAATTCAATTCTAGTTACTCTTTGTAGCAGAAGTTGTTATGGGTAGATCCCAGACTGATTTAATGCCAAGTTAAAATGAAGTCTCTTTGATTTATTTTATTTTACATATAGTATGTAGCAATATTCCACACTTGCCTATGTCAAAACAAGGACATAGAACCTCTCATTTTAACAGTTATAAAGTCATGCATAGCTGGTTACACAAATACTACTAATAAGAAAATCATAAAAGCTTTGTCACGTTTATATCTTTCAACTATACAAGGCAAGGCAGGAAATTGTGATACATAGTTGGTAGTTTCTGTTAAAATAAATTGGATTATAATGGAATATGTTACAGCATATTTCCGCATTTATGTCTGCTTCTACCCGGGAAGGGGAAAAAGGGGCTGAGAATCAAAAGTCTAAGATTCCAGTCTTGAAAACATTCCAGTGAATAACTTAGCTCCCATAAATAAAAATGAGTTACCACCTGTGCGTAAAGTTATGCACATGCCTTCATGTTCGCAGGATTGAGGTAAAAAACCATATTGCAAGTTCTCTTTACAATATGGTATGAAGAGGAAAAAAGTCTTAATTTACTGGACACTGAAAAACTGCAAGAGAAAGGAGAAAGAAGCACATGTTTACATACATACATAATGACATTTTCATGAAAGTATTAGGCTTCATGAGAACTCTCATGAGTCCAGAGGTTTTTTCTGATTTGTGTTGGTATGTGGGATTTTGCACATCTGTTAATGTATGTTCCTTAATCATCCCCTTGGAAAATAGACCTTTGCACTTGCTGCACCCTTCGCCCAAGTGCCTTTTGGATTCAGTGAACGTGGTTGCAGAAGACATTTTGAATTCAGTGAGCATGGTTGCAGAAGACATAGAGACCAAGTTATTTTACCGGGCACTGTGATTTGTTTTTGCTTCTGAAAAGTAGCCTGGACCAGTTGAAAGGTCAACATAAAAATATTTCCTTTCATTCTCACTGACAGAGAATTGGGTCTAACTTTGTATCATTGCAATTTCTTATATACTATTCTCCCCTTCAAGTCTGACTTTTTCATGAGCAAGGGTCAAAATATGTCTATGTTTCAGATTTTACCATTAGTTTTTAAGTGCTTCAGGGCAGAAGCCATCTTTTATTCTGTCTTTGCAAAGCCCTGAAATAGGAGACGTCTGATCCTGATTGGGAAGCCTTTGATCATAATACTAACAAATGATCATTTGAGGTTTTGTGTGATTTTGTTGCCAGATGGGAACATACTGGTGAGCTTTAAGTCTTTTAATCTCAAGGTATTTAAGAAAGGATTTCTGAAAACTCACTAGTGTCAATCACAGCTAAAATTATGAAATGCAGATTTTTTTCTTTTTTTAATGAAAAGAGGATCAAATCTACTTTATAAGTAGAGTACTGCAGCAACCTTAACATAAAAAAGTTAACTGAACTGCACAAGCTCAGGCAGATGATTAAGGTAATGAAATAACTAGTTCCCAAGTGTCAGCTGAGCATCGGAAACTGTCCATTTGTGCATTCTTAACCTAAACAAATGTAAGGTAATGTACCTTGTCTTAACCTCTTTCCTAGCAAGCCTAGCAAAGTCAAATTAATTGCCTCACGTTTGTTGCACGCTAAATGCTCTAAGGCAAACTGTTTTTGCAGATCAGTACATTTGTGGTAATTTGCTGAAGTAGAATGATGTAATGGAAAGTGTGAAAGCCTGACCACAAACAGATAGAAAATTTTGAATGGAATCTCATCCAGGGGGAGGAATCCTGTATTTAATAACTTAAATTAAGGAATGTTCTTTAGGCAAACAAACAAGCTTACATATGTTTTCTCGTTACTGTGGACCACCTAAAGAATTGTGCCATAGATTGTAGAAGAACTGGAGAACACTTAGAAGAAGGCACTTTGTTGGATGCCTGCAATAAAATTGTAAAAGAGAGCCTGAAAAATCATTAGTGAGTGCCTACAGGAGCAGAAGAGTAAATATTGAGACCAGGAAAGATGAAGACTAGGGTTTAAGCATACATTCTGGAGCAGGAGAAATTGTAAGAAAGAACTGATATAAGCAAAAGCATGGGTAAGACAGTGATGATTATCTAAAGTGAAATTCATTTTAGAGAAATGGACAAAGGTTCAGACTGGCTTTTATATTTTTATAAAGCAGCACCTTAGAAATTGAAAAGCCCTCTTAAATCATGCCTTCCTATCACAGTGTAGGATAATCACCTACAAAGCAATCTCTGCCAGTCTCTCTTAGTCCAGTTTAGCATGACCTTGGTGAGGATTCTTACAGCACTCAGTAGAGGGGATTCTGTGTTTCCAAAAACTAGGAAGATTTTCAGTCCAGAGAAGAGCCAAGAGATCAAAGGAATTGTACAATGGACTAGGTGTCACATGGAGTAATTTTGTTCCTGCCTGTGCTACTGTCTTGGTGCATAGGCTCAGAAAAATCAGTTATTGTTCTATTGCTGTTTTTTCTGCCTATAAATTGGCAGTTGAGATATTTACATGTTTTTATAAAAGCTCAGGGATGAAAAGTGTAATAAATTCTTATTATAGTAAGCATTTACTTTCTTACATATACCTCTTGTGAGAAATTCCTTCCCCATTTACAGCCTTAATATTTATGCAGGTTTACATATGACCATTAGGCTTCCACTTTGTCATAGCTGACTTACTGAAACTGGTGTTTCAGCATCTGCAGCTCCCCAGATGTTCTCACACTAGTTCAGCAGTCTCTTCTTGTAGCTTTATAGTAAAATAACCTAATATTGAAAGGATTTTGCAGAATTTTGTTGCAGGGTTAATTTTTCAAAACACTTCTTATACAGTAGCTTTTAAAGTTATTATGACATACCTTAAAGGTGATGAAGCAGTTAATCATATTTTCTGTTTTTTTTAAGGATCCTCCAATGGCAGTGACCCTTGGTCTGCGAATGGAAGAAATGATTTTTAATCTTGCTGATACGCATTTATTTTTTAATGACTTGGAGGTAAGAATCAAAGGAACATTAACATTATTACATCTGGTTTTTTACCATAGTAGCTTTCCTATGTATTTGTGCTTGTTAAGTGTGATGTTATCTGCTTCTCCAGACCTAAGTCAGACTCTAATCAGACAGAGGTTAGCCAGGTGGCAGTGATTTTCTGTGGCACCAGGGTCCTTCCGTGAAACTAGGGTCAAAAGGGAATCTGCAATCTCTCCCTTCCTTTCTGTAGCAGAGATATCGGTTGTACCTTGTTTACAGTTTCCATGGATTTAGAGTTGTCTGTAGTGATTTCCAGGAGAGAGACCCATGTATCTCCTATTCTTTCTCTTGAAGTTCTCAAGGCTAATTTGCTTTCAGTGGATAATACCATTTGACCATGAGTGACTGTTCTTCTCTTGACACTCTTGAGTAGTCTTTTGGCCCCAGCCCCCTTTCCTGCTCAAAGGAAGAACACTCTTCATTCATATAAAAGAATGCAGCATCAAGAGAACTGTAATTGTAGTAGACTGACTCACCATTGATGTCTACAATGTCATAGAAACTGAGGACTCAGTCTCAGGTTCCTTCCGATCACCAATGTCAAAACTTTGCCGTTAGAATAGAAGAGCTTATACGCGGGTCATCTCTTCCCCTTCTCCACTCCCTGCAGAATGTGGAGAATTTAAAGTGAGAGATTCCAGGCAGGAATGGCACATTTCAGAACGTGGTATGTGGAAGAAAATTAAAAAATTTCTGCATCTGTCTTGTTTTCAACATCAGCCAACAGAGAGTCGTTCCGGAACTCTGTTTAGAATTTTCTGGATTTATTTAAGGTTATTTTTTAGCTAAGAAGGCTGAAAGAAATCAGTTTGCACTTACAGGTATTGGACAAAACATAGTCAGGATTGTATGGAATATTATGAGTCTTAACATTCAAGTCAGCACCTATACATCTGATTCAATTCCTTAAATTTTTAATTACCTTCCAGGTAATTTCATTTATATCTCTGTGTTCCTTTTAAAAAATTCCAGTAAGCCAGACTAAATAACATGAATACTCTTTGGTTCAGATTCCTCACTGACTGTCCTATGCTTTTGGCAGACACTTTCCACCAGGTTTCTGGACGTCTCACAGGTATGCTAATTTGGCCAATCCATACATGATCTCTGCATATCAAATCCTATTGGAAATCAGATATTGTACTCTTTTTTCATCTTTTATTTATTTGTTTCCCCTTCCAGATCACAGGGGGAAATCTGGACACAAGTTTCCATCCCAAACTTCTGATCTGGCAGACTTTCAAGTGTAGTGTGTCATGGACTGACAGTGTGGAGCTTCTTGGTTGCCCACATTTTCTTCTTGAGGTAACCAGGCGACCACATGTTTTGTCACAGTGTGCCAAAGCTGTCCATTTTGACATCTGGTCAGAAAAGGGAGAGACCACTTCCTAGGGAGCAACCACTGTGGACTGCTCACCTGTTAAAATCACACAAATAGACTGCCAAAGTGACAACTGTCTGGGAAGTAGGCCCATCAGCAATGCTTCATAAACATTTTGTTTCAGTTCTGGAGTCCAGAGCTGTTAACATGGAATGTGACAATCTTATAACTGTGTTTATTCCTTTATTTATTTTGTGGAATAGACAGTGGATGAAAAAACAGCTCTCAAATTAAATTAGAGGCTTTTCAGACCTTTGCTTGATCTGATTCAATTGTTTTCTTAATCAGAGTAGATCACAGCGTTCTCTCCCTGGACAGATATTTTGCCGGTAACCAGAGTTGGAAGACTTAGAGTTTTTGTTTAAAATGCCAGAGGAAGGTATCTAATGAGTGAATGGAGAAAATGAGGATAAATTAGATTTTTCCATCTATTGAGAGCTGGATTTTTGTAGTGTGCACTTCTTCTGTTCCTTTGTTAGGTCGTAGGAAAATCAGAAGGTACCAGGCTGAGGTTATCTTTGTTGTCCCTTGCAGACCTCATTTTTCCTCAGCTCATTTCAGGTCAGGTGACTAGGATCTGCTTCACCCTCTACCTGAGCTGCACTTCCTCCTTTCAGTGGCAGAAACATAAGAAATTAAAACCCTGGATATGCCTCAGCCAGTCGGTGTTTTATTGCAATCTAAGTGAGTCATCACTTGACAATGCAAGTGCATTCGGTGAATGTTCTCTTTCTGGTGCCCCATACCAGGGATAGATTCCAAATCAATTTTTCAAAGCATTACTTAAATTTCTTTTTAACAGACCTTTGCCCTAGCACACTCAGATTTCATATGACGCCCAGTGAACTCTAAGCCCTTCAGTAGCATGTGCCCAGATTTCTTCAAGCTTGTGCAGAGTTCAAGTGGAAGAGTTCAGCAAAATGGAACTTTGCCCTCTTTGCATATCTCTCTGTTCTTGCTTGTGGCTGCTGAAGCTTCATTCCTTTCTCTCATTATTTATTTTCTTTGTAGATCTCAGGGTCAGCAGTCATAGGTCACTTAAAAATCTGGATCATCACATCTTGTATATTCTTAATAGTGTTCTTTTAATATCCTGTCCAAAAATTCATACTCCAGCTCATTCCAGAACTTGAACAGTATCCAAACAGTTTTCAGTTTTAGATAAATCAAAAAATTCTGCTTTGGGACTTTCTTTGAGAATCTCATAACTCAATCAGTTTGATTTGATTAAAATCAATTTCTCTAGGCAGTTAACTGTTTTATAACCCAGAATTCAGAATTGTTTCAAAACCAAGAATAGCAGAGCTCTTCCAAAGTTCTTGTTCTGAGCTGTATGCACAAATTGTAGCATATACCAGAAGACCAACAAGTTTCTATGTTCTTAGCAAATAAGGTATAAAAATGCTTTTGTACTTAGGAGCATGGCATCCTATGCCAAATACATAGAAGCATCCTTTTAATATGCAGATGAGTAAATCTGTCTGTTTAAATATTTGCAGAGCACAAGGACATTTCTAAGTGCTGAATATTACAGTGGATCTGCAAGATGACTGTAAGGGATTCTCTTCTCCTTTTCTTGTTTTTTGTTTCTCTCTCTCTCTCTCTCTCTCTCTCTCTCTCTCTGTGTCTCTCTCTCGCTCCCTCTCTTCCTCCCTCCCTCCTTCCTCAGGAGTGGGGAGGTGGTCTACAATGTAACAGCAGGGTGCTGAGCTAGGGAGGGTCATGACCATCAAGACACAAGGCCTTTAGTTCTTACTGGAAGAAGTGAGATGGGCTTTTATTAAGTACACAAATTACTTATCCTTTCATCATCTCACTTTTCTGAAGTGCTGAGCCATCACATCCCATACCATCTGTCTTACTGTCATCTACCCACACTAAACCATGCAGCTCTGGACATGATATCTGTAAGAGAGTAATGAAGCCATATTCCTATAATGTTGACTCCAGCCACTAAGTCCTCTAAGCAGATTTTTTTTCCCTCTCTTGCTTGGTTGTAAGCACTACATACCGAGGGTTAGTAATAACAACCAAGTTATTGAAAGTTATCACCTACAAAAATAAAGCTTTCCTTCCTTTATGCAAATATGTCTCATTACAATGACTGCTGATGCAGAAATTCCAATCTGTTGAGACATTCCCTGCTGACCTACTAACCCATGTTCTAATCAGCCAGGCTGCAGTTTTATTTGAGGCTAGGCTGTTCTCCAGCTATTTCATTCTCAGTGTATAAATTTTAGTTAGCTTGAGAAGTATCACTTGGGAGGGCAATTGGTATTTTGCCATGAAAATAGAAGTCTTGTGCTCTAGAAAGTTCATGTGCCTAAGCAACGCTTAGGGGATGGGACTAAGTTCAGTAACAACATCCAGAGTAATACATTCTGTTCTTCACCAGGTCAGAAATAAAATGAAGCTTTTCTTTCTATTTAGTATTAATTTTAGGACAACTTTTAGAAAGTTAGTAGGACATACTGTATGCACACACACAAAACAATCAACGTCTATAAAATGCAAGCAGTAATTTGGAGATGAGTTTTTCTACTCCCATTATCCTCCCCTACTCTCTAGAGCAATGAAGAAAAGCGTATTTATTTAAAATGGACTGAAATAAATTTTCATTTTTATGGTAAGCCTACCATATTTTAAATAAGATTTTGTGATTGTTTTTTTCTCATTAAGAAATGGAAATGAGGGAGAAAAAATAGGTTAAAATAACTCAAAATTTGGGAAGCAGGTCAAACCAGTTTTAACAGAGGCTGAAGCATATACATTAAATGAGTAGTTATATATAGCCTGAAAAGGCATACTGCTGGATATCTGCTCTGTAATAGCATTTTTGTTTTCACTCCAGTGAGTCAGTGTTTTTACTGGATAATGAAATTGCCATTCCAGGAGGCTAATTTTATAGACAATTTGTTGATTTTGTACTCTCAAATTTTCAGGCTCTAAAACTTCCTGCAAAGAATTGACTGCACTCAGGTATAATTTAAATTAGCATTGCTTCAAACAAAACAGTTATCATCATACCTGTATTCATTTTCTGTGCACTCAGCAATAGCAAATATATTTTATCTTTCTTAGTTTTGACCTTGCACAGCCAGTGACCCATGGTGACATGGGTGTAAGCCAGTACTGTAGTTGTTAGGAGAGGTATTTTACCTTAACATTTAAATTGACAGCGAGCTTCCTTTCCATCTTCCACACAACTGTTTGGTCTCACTTACAAGCAAATTGAAATGTAGTGTTGTGCCATCGGTTTGCTGTTTCTTCTGGGAAAAGGAGAGAACTGTCTGAAATCTACCCAAACTGTCTGCTCAGATGGACAAAGCCTTCTTTTCTTTTTGAAAGTTTGCTCTCCCTAGATAAGTGAATTTGTAAAATGTAAACATTTTTCTTGAAGTGGATGAAACAAATAGAAAGCAAAATGAAACAAAGAGTGGTGAACACATGAGCTTGCTGTTGTTCAGGAAATGTGTACTGTCAGACTGTTTAATGGATATGGATATTGAGTGGATCCAAAAGGAGAAGAGGAGGAAGAAAAAGGATGAAGGTAGAGAATGCTATCAGTTTTGATCCACCTTACACAGGTGTTAAGTAAGCAATTTTATTGCAGGGACAAGAGTCAAGGAATCAGAATTCTTCAGTCAGTGAGCAAAACGTGAGATAAAAAAGTAAAAGTAAATAGCTGAGCCTTTGCCACCCACAGAAGAGTAGTAATCCGGTATTTTCAAGGCTGGAGCAATATAGCTGAATGACTTAACCCACATTGCAGCAGACACTCATTTTTATCCATGAGGGCTTCTGTGTGCTCTCCATGTACTTTAATACTTGTTCACATCCACAGGACTGAGTCTTAAACTTCTAAATTGTCTAATGTTTGGACTAGTCCCACTGAAATCAGTGAACGTGAGGAGGAAGCCAGATGTTGCTCAGGTACTGCAAAATATCAGGTTAGAATTTGTCCCAAAGATGTGTTTTGTCTGTCTTTTGAGTTCCTGTGCTGAGTTGGGTGGAGTATAGTTGCATTTTTTTCAGGAGTATAAATAATAAAGAAAGATAAAGAAACAAACCTTTTTATTTCAGCTGTCATTTCCCTTTTTCTTTCTCTTTTCATCTATTATTTACATCCAAATTCAGCTTCTTTAAAATATTCTGTGGCTCAAGATAATCTGCTCCTCAGATACAATCAAAAATGTATTTTATTTGTCTAGTGGGATAAAGAGTGATTAATTTCTGTTCCTCAAACTGCAGTTCTTCCGTGCCTGTCTCAATGGATTAAGCTAGATGAGCAGAGTTTGACCACTCAATCTTTTAGTCTTGATACAAAATTTTACATTATGATTACTTGTATGAAAATGACATTGTATGTATTTATTTATTCACAAGTTGCTAATCTGATTTTTTTAACAAACTTACTTCATGTGGATAAAAACCTAATAAGTTTTCATTCAGTGCAAAGCAAACAAAACTTTGGACCAGAAATGGTACTTGCCCAAATTCAGACTGATATATGTTGTTTTCCCTCAATAAACTCTAGGAATTTGTGGTATATACATTTGGAGATCACTCCCGTGCTCAGATTTGTGCTTTTTCGGGACAATTTACACTAGTACTAAACTGAGATGATTAGAAATTTAGAACTGCATACTCCTGCGTATCACAGAGAGTCTGACCTAAGTGTAGCTTGTCAGCAGCTTTATTTGAAGTAAATGACCCAAATAACTCTTTATTTGAAGCATGAAACTGTGCATTTGGAAAGTTCAGCCCTCCTTTGTCATAGTGATGAGATTAAATTAACTGAAAACATATTTGGTGAGTCATATTTAAATCTATCTTTTAATTTTTTCATAAATTAAGTTAGGATTATGTTAACAACAGCTATTCTAAATACTAAAAAAAACACTTTATACAGGAAAGTGAAATCTCCAGACACTGAATTTCAGGTGTGTCTTTGAGTTAAGAGGTTTTAATTCTAGCAACTACAGAAAACAATAATACAATCCCTGCAAGACTTTTCTATATTTACTATTGCATGGTGGCTTGAATTACGTATTTATTATTGCTTCCCCTGTATTTTCCTGTCTTTCTGCTGTAACCAACGTGCAGAAAGGGACATGTGATAGGGATGCACTTATCAAAACATTTTGGAGAGGAGTTAAATTTTCACTGTACCTCGTAGTTCCCTTGAGTTACTTCCAGCCCTTTTGAAACCAGGAAATAGTGAAATTCTCTGAGACTGATTGATTCCTTGAGATTTCCCAGCCAAAGGCACTTGGATAAATCCAGGCAAGAATCTGATAAGCATCCGCACTCCTGGAGACTTAACATAAATGACATGCTTTTTGAGGTTCGTGATTACTAGTTTTCAGGGCATGGGAAAATACCGTTTAGGTGATTTTGAAGACGGGTACACTAGAGAGACTCCAAGAGAAGGCTGATAAATGTTGGCTTTTAAAATTAAAAATAATTTTTATCTAAAATTACGCTGAAATAACATATCACTTTTCTGAAGACCTATTTTGACTCATAATGTGTATAGTGTAGAAAGAGTTGAAGTTTCTATTGTTTTGAAGAAATTGATGTGATATGATGCTGTGAGTGTACATATGCTGCCATCTTCTGGTGCAGTTAGTGGCCTGCAAAGAGCATTTCTTCAATATCTGTACTGAGCACATACTGATCATGCTCTCTTGAAATAAATTATCATTCAACTTTTTTTTTTCAACAGGAGTGTGATCAAGTTCATATAGATGATGTTTCTTCTGATGATAATGGACAAGATCTAAGGTAAGATTGAATGTTTGTTTCAAAATTTTTTTCTTCAAAGATTAAATAAATTGAGCATTTACAGGAATACATTGTATTTATTTTTACTGTATTTTGGGTGTTTGCAGTACCTACAGTTTTGCAACTGATGGCTTCCATGCAGCTGCAAGTAGTGCAAACCTTTGTCTGCCAACAGGTGTAAGAGGAGGGGTTGACTGGATGAGGAAGCTGGCTTTCCGTTACAGAAGAGTAAAAGAGTTGTATAATACTTACAAGAACAACATAGGAGGTGAGTTTAAGGAACCGATTTTTGTCAGAAACAATTTAGAATACTGATCAGGTTAAGCTGTATGGTAATGAATTCATGGCAAGTGAATGTGCCTTGGAAGCCATTGTGTGAATAGAAAATTAAGTGATTGGACCTTCTGCTATTGACGGTTACAGGAATGACAGATCCTACATAATGCTCTTGTGCGGGAGAACCAGAAATGGGGAATCAGAGCGGAGTTCCATTTAACTTACAGAGAGGCTGTTTTTCCTCCTTCAAACTGAGCTCGGATATACCTACCTCCTGTTGACTTACTGGCTGGTTGAGCACTTCCCGCATCTAAAATAAACTAACGATAAAATAACTTGGTAGCTAACAAAGTTAATTAGGTTAGCGAGAAAATCCCGACTCCATTTGAGAAGAGAACTTCTTATTGTTGTTTTCACTCATGGACTTCTCAGTGCAAGCATGTTTTTAGGAAGTCACAGGAGCAGAACTAAAGGAATATGTCCTGGAGAGTTGTGTATGAATTGCAGAGGCAGCCAACCCTCTTCTGAAGAGAGGAGTATGTCAGCTGGCTACTCGAAGGAGAGACTGAGAGAACTTACAGGTCTTCAAACATTTCTACAGCCACATTTGACGTTGAGAAAAGGCCAGCCCAAACAGGCAGTGGTTCAAGGGAACTCCCTCCCGTTCTTTAGCATGGACTTTTTCAAATCAGTTGAAATTTATTTCAGAGAAAACTGAAACTCAAAGTAAAGCTCACCTGCAGCAAAAACAGATAGCAGTTTCTCAGAAATGGAAAACAATATTACTAATAATGTAGACAGTGAATTTGTCACTGCCGTAATCATGTTATAAAACAGGTAAATTTGGCTTATATCTTTTCACTCTTACTGATTCAAAGTCTTTTCTTGCGACAGGATGAAGTAATGGCAGAGAAGGGTGATAGTAGATGGTTGGATTTTGCTTGCTCTGAAGTATGGTGGCTTGAGTCCCTGAGAAGTGAATGATAGTCCCCAAAGAAACTTCCCAGCCCTGCCCTGCCCTGTCCTTGCTATCGTGAATGGAGTTTTTACATATAAAGAATACATGAAACAATCTTATCAAGTTTACTGGGTTTCCGTATGACATCTCTTAATGCATCTATGATTCTAAAGCTGTTACATTTCATAGAAACTTTAATGAGAGCTTATGTCAGAGAGCATAGTGTGGAGAAACACATTAATAGGAAGCATCATATTGCAAAGACACAGTGCAGCTATGTGCTGGTACATTGTGTTAAGATTTTTATTCTCCCCCACAAATCATGGTTCTGAAATATATGCCTCTTGGGCAAGTGGAATTAATGGGCAAGTTCCTTCATGCATCCTGCACTCATTAGCCTTTATAATAATCTTTCTTATTGTGTGTGTAAACTCTTTATTTCAAAATAGCAATTAGAAGCCAACAGAAGACTAGGTCAAACTAGGAGTTTGTAGGTTACTTTGTTTGAGATTTTTGAAAACGGTCGTCACCACTTCTTGGGAATATGAGGTGTGAAAGAGGAGGGAGATACCAAAGGTCACTGTGCCTGCTTGCCTGCTCTTCCAGGACCATATGTAAATTTAAAATAGTTTGGTTCTAAAGAAGTCAGGGCTACCTAAGATTTGAGAACATACGATGTACAGATATTTCAGGGCTGTAATACTGTAAGCGCTACAAAAGGAGTTACCATTAGTAACTAGAATAGAAAGTGAAGAGCAAGCAAATAAATGCTGTATTTTCACGTCTAACCTGAGGTTTACATATAAAATAAGCCATAAACAGTGCAGTTATAAACATATGCAGATACTAGAAAGAGAAGTTTATTCTAAAGTTCCTTATGTTTTCTATGAGTGTCTCTACCTGTGATCCTCACGGCATGATCCTCTTGTCACTGCCTCTGATAATTAAGAGGGTAGGGTGTATGTGAGAGCTTCACTTTAAAAATATGTTCTTCGGAGAGGTACAGTTAAAAACATGGTAATGGAAAAAAAATCATGTATGGTATAGGAAAAAAATCAAATGACTACTTATTAGATATCTACAATACTCTCTGACATTGCTTGATACAATGATGTTACAAGACTAAAGAAAATAGAAAGCAGTTTACTGAGCCTTGAAGACAACAGAGGTTTTTCCTTTGCTATTTTTTCAAATTCTAGTGGAATTTAAAATAGAAACAATCTCTGCAAAATCTTGGAATTCCAGCTAGTACAGAATTTAATTTTTTTTTTCTTGATTTTTTACATACAAGGTCTCCTTGGTCCTGCTAAAAGAGATGCGTGGTTGCAATTAAGAGCAGAGATTGAAGCTCTAACAGATTCCTGGCTAACAAATGCGCTTAAATCATTATCAATTATCAGCACAAGGTAAGTATTTGAGTCTGCTGTAAAACTTTTTTTTTTTTTTTTTTAACATGTAATGGCTTTTTTCACATTTTGGATTACAAGATACTAGTACCTCTACAGAACAGAACAGGTCTAACATGATTTTTAGTTGGGATAGAGAAAAAATTCCATGGAAACTGATTTTATTTTCAGTGATTCCAGCATGTATTGCAGATTGTATGAAATGACTTTTAAAATGTGATAAATAGCCCTGTGTATGTTGTTTTTTTAGAACTCTGAGCCAGCCTTTAAATTATTATCCACTGGTCAGCATCCTCTGAACTCCGAATATGTTTTTTTTTTCAATGCTTGTCCTATTCATAGTGGTACCAAAGTATGGTGCAGGTCCCAGAACACAAAATCATATTCCTTCTGTCCTCCTTCTTCCAAATAATTCAGCATGATTAAGCATATATGTAAGTTTTTAGAAAAGTGAATATATATGTTCTATACTGTTATTGAGTTAAAAATCTATGCTTCCAGTCATGAGACATAAAATTAGTTGGGTTTTTTGAGATAATAAAAGGGGGAACACTGCTGCTGCTTAGTTAGCCATGCATTTTTTCTTCTGAAATCCTCAAAAATGCAAGTTTTGAACCATGAAAAACCAATAATATTTAGCCATCTTGCCTCCTAAGCGTGTTTGAGAGAGGAATCAGTGTTGAGTGAAAAGAATAAACTTGGAAAGGTGTGAAAAACTATTTTAAGCTTATAAATATTTTTGTAATGTTTTTCTCTGAATTGCAGTTTAAATTTATTAGAAGCATCTTAAGTACCTCAAGAAAACAAAAATAAAAATTCTGTGTAATATGCTGTGTTTAGCTCTGCATTTCTTAGCTCATGCACTCTGTATTTTAGTCGACTCATCTTCAGGGATCTGGTTTTCATATAGCAGTGTGGAACTAACTTAACTTAACTTCCTACTAATCAGAACTGCATATTTATGTAAAGGATAGGAAAAGATAGGATTTTTCCAAAAGTTTCATGTACATTTTTCTGGAGGTGGTGATGCTGAGTAGCACACCAGTGTGAGTGAAAGTAAATGCTGAGGAATCCTGAATATGCTCTCATCAGCTATGTTATCACAACAGGATTTGGAAAATTGATTTAAACTGTTTCTCACCCTGTAGGAGTAACTGTGTAAATGTGTTGGTAACAACAACCCAGCTTATTCCAGCACTTGCGAAAGTCCTGCTATACAGCTTAGGAGGAGCTTTTCCTATTGAAAATATTTACAGTGCAACCAAAATAGGTAAGAAAATAATACTTTCCTCCACTCTGACTACATTGCATTATCAATAATTTTTCCCCCAGTAAGGGATGGATCAAAACCACTTTCCTGACACTTACGTTGTCAGTTACAAGACGTAGGTATTGTGTATGTCTAGATTTGTTTATATCAATAATAGGATTCCAAATTCAGCATATTTTCTCTGACACCTAAAGGAGTAAAGGCTCCAGTACTAGACCTCTCTTCAAAACCTTACATAGTGCAGAAAAAATGTGGAGAAGAATAAAGAAATAGGTTTTGTTAAATAAAATCTAAACAGAGCTTTCTTTGAAATAGTTTCTGGTCTGACCTTCAGCTTTCTGTAAGCTAGGCCACAGCTTCACAAGTGTTTTCTGGAAGCATAACACATCAGTGACGGTAATGACAACTGTTACCAACAGAAGCCGTGTTGATGGATTCCACAAGGGCAGTTCCTTATTGTGCTGGTAACTGCTTACCTCTTTGAAGGGGCTTGTGTATCACAGTTTGGGAATTCATGGTTTTGAAATCACATCCAAAATTTCTGTGTAACCTAAGAAATGTCACCATTCCTGTGAAACGTGACACAGCCTGTGACAACTTCTCAGATTTCCACGAATCGTGGCAGATTTCATGATTTATAATTTATTGATTTAGGAATGCTTAATTTCTGTATCCACATCATCTTACATAACAGTGAGTGTGCGACTGTGTTGACAGAGTATTCAAATAACACATATTCTAATAGTGTCGGGAAAATCAATTATCTCAATCATCCTTTAATGAGCTGTAGCTGTAAAAATCTTGCGTTAAGGCAGAAGTATCCCAAACATCACGTGGTATTAAGCAGCCTGTGAAACGAATGTCATGATCTGTCTTACAGCATGTGTATTTTGGATTCAGTTATTGAGATTACACTCAGACCATGGGAAGGAGCATTGAGAAATAGTGCCAACATCACAGAAGGGGGTGGGAAGTGAAGCACCATTTCTGGAAGCCATTGAAGGAATTCTGCATCAGGAATTCCTTCTGGGAACAGCATGGTCGCTGTTACAACCCTGTCAGGAACACAGAAAACTCTGCTCAGTACAAGATCTCTCTCTACTTTTCATCTCAGTGATCTCTGCACTGCACTGGGCACAGGGCTATAACTGCAGCTATTCCTTAAACGCAGTGAAGTTTGATCCTCATTCAACAGTTAACACGCACAGGGTTTTTTCCTAATCATAAGCCTTTTTTTGTGGACCATCTGAAGGAAAAACAAGAGGAGTGCAATAAGAATCAGAGATCTAGAAATCATGAGCTTGTGAGAAGAGACACAACAACAGTCTTAAGATATTTAAAAAGCCATTGCAGAGAGGAAAGAAATAATCTTTCTCTATGTTGATGGGAGGTAAGACAATAGCTGATGGTTTCATTGCAATAAGGCATGTGTAGGGTGGATATCAAGGAGAAAATTCCTAATGGTAAAGGTTAATTAACCATGGGAATCATCTGTGGAAGTAGTGAAATCACCAACATCAGAATATTTTTAGAATAGCTTGCAGAGGCATTTGTTGGGTAAATCTGAACCTGCAGTAGAGTGGGAAGATCAGCTAGATGACTTCTCTTGGTCCCTTTCAATCCTACTTAGTATTTGCGGTTCCTGGCTTAACCTCCTTGCTTCCATATTCCTGTAAAAAAGACAAATATTTCATGGAAGTTCCCCCTGGAAACTGCTTGTCCATTGTTCTTTGATTGTTTTTTCCATTGTTGCATTATTCATTGCTGCAGACACATTGAAGTAAAGTTGCTGCTTTTGTTGAAAAATAATTATTACTATAATAGGGAAACATTGAATTCAATTATTCCTTCACTGACCTATTCATTTTTCACAGTGTTGGCAATTCCTTTATACTTTAGTAGCTCTTCTATAACTCTTAAGATAGAGATATAGTTTTAGAGGAAGCAGTTTATCGTCACCAAGGGAATTCATTGCTTCTCACCAACTGTAGCTCTAAATCCTAAAGCTGGGAGCTATAAAAAAATAGTAGTAACAATGCCTTACCACTGCAGTAATCCTTTATAGAGCTTCACCATAATTCACTTGATTGATAGCTTAATAAGTAGTGCATTGTTTTTCAGGCAAAGAGAGCTGTTTTGAGCGTATAGTGTCCAGATTTGGCACTAACATAACTTATGTTGTGATTGGAGATGGCCGAGATGAGGAGCATGCAGCTAATCAGGTAACTTCACTCTGAACTCTTATCTCATTTATCTTCCAGGAAAAGAAAGTTGCTTTGAACGAATAATGCAAAGGTTTGGCAGAAAAGTAGTATATGTTGTAATTGGGGATGGTGTAGAAGAAGAACAGGCAGCAAAAAAGGTAACCTGTCTCCTGAAATGTTGGTGTGATACGTAGCTACTAATGCAAGCCTTTCTGTTTGCATTTCTGTTAGTGTTGCACAATGGCAGAAGGACGAATAATTTCAGTCTACAGATGCAAGTCAACAAGAGCATGATGAGACCAATAATTAGAGTAAAATGAACCATTTGGATTCTAGCATTTGCTTTATTTCAATCTAGAAATTTAAATTGCAAAATTATTTATAAAATAAATGAAAACTGATGGGGGCAAAAATGTCTGATTAACTTCAAGCAAAGTAAACCTAAAAAGTTGATACAACAAGGGCTAGGAAATGATGGTTGGATAGTGGTTTTCTTTAGAAGGTGAAATCAGGGAGGTTTCAAGAGTAGTGTTATGGAGAATATGGAAAAATTACTAAAGAATAGTGCAAATTTTTGCTAATGTAAATACAGATCTGCATTTTACTGGAGGAAATTTATGAACATATAGTTTACTTCAATAAGTACATATCTGCAAAATCAAAATGGATGCAATGTACATATTGTGCACTAAATTGCAGTTTCTAAAAAAGACCTGTTTCTTTAGAAATGCTCAATTTTCTCAAGTTGAAAATTCAAGTGGAAACTTCACCACATGAGGTTTCAATGTTTAGGAACAGATCAAATTAGTAATAACTGGAGAGCTATACTTCTCAGTATAACCCCTGGAAGTGTGCACAAAAACTGAAAATTTTTGCCTCAGGCACAGGACAGGTGACATAAATATCTTTGTACTAGGAACAGCAAAATTAAATGCCCTTTTAGTATTTATTTTTACAGTATAGTTGTAATGGAAACAAAATGCAAATAACCGAAATGCTCATTCCAAATGGTTCTTTAATATAGGTACACTCCTGGTGATGGGTCTTATAGTTTGTGCTAAACACAGGTGGTTGGATTGTGTACTTTCCAGTTTGGCATGCTTTTTCTTGACAGTAGCTATATTGCATGAACAGATACAGATTGGTAGGGATGGATGAACCCGGTGCATTATAAATAGATCTGAACAGAATGGAGAAGTATGGTTTTTACTCCATTCCGGACAATTGCTGAGGGAGAATAGTGCATGTATCTGCTTGTCTCACAGACACTGATGCTGTCTGCAACACAAATTTATCTATCTTTAAAACCAGCAATTTGTTATTTTCTCCTTAAAATAATTTTTTTTCCCGCAGTGGAAAAAAATGTATTACAGCTCTACTTCAAAGTGTTTTAAGTGTTGCCTCCTTTAACTGAAGTCTTAAAAGCCTTTAAATGGTCATTCCATCTATTGCAAAGTATAGTAAGTGGAGCAGAAACAGAAATTTCCTATTGATGCTCCACTGTATGGGATTACATGCTATCAAAAAAGCAAACAGCTCTCACTAAGTAATGGGTTCTTTCCAAAGAAACTAATAGGAAAGACAATCTATTTATTTTACTTTCAGTCAAATAAATAAGCTCAGATCTATTTTGGTCTGATTTTTGTCAGTATCTTACTAGCAAAAATCAATCCAGAAACACAGTAGTGTAAAATACGTGGTTGCAAGTTGACCAGACGTGTGTCATATACCACCCTATGTTACAGTGTTCATTTTTCCTCACCTTTTTTACCCTTCTAACAAACACAGCACAACATGCCTTTCTGGAGGATATCCAGTCATTCGGACCTCTTGGCGCTCCATCAAGCACTGGAACTAGAGTATTTGTAACTGTGTTCTAAAGTTGGCGCTCCTTTTTTTTATATATATATATATATTTTTATATATATATTTCAAGTACACTGAATTTTTATGTGTGATTCAATGCCTCTGGCTTTACACATATGAATTGTCTTAAGAAGGGAAGAAATGTTTGGAATTAAAAATTCCAAATTGAAGAATTCAGATTACTGAATGGAGTTAAAACGTTAGTGCTACATAAGGAAGCTCTATGGTCTTATATATGCAACGTTTTTAAATGAATTAAAACTGTGGAGGTTGCTGGTACGTACCAAATGAGCCCTGACAGGAGAGAACAAAGGACTCGAACTGGCAAAGCACCAACATGCGTTTTCCAACCGACATTCCTCAAAGTGGGATATATTCTCAGCACTGAGGTTTGAACCAGACTTTAGCCTACCTAACCCAGAAAATCTGAATTGGAATGCACTCAGACTGTATAATGACAATCCTGTCTAGTCCTGTAATTTGTGTAAATTATTGATGAAAATAATTTACTGTGACTTTATTAGCAGCTGATTTTGGAAGTGGATGCAATTTTTCTTTCTTTTTTTGGGGGGAGGGGAGGGAGAGGGTTATATGATATTGTCTCTTTTATAAGTTTGGCAAACAGAATGTGCATAATGATGTGTTGTGCCTTAAAGAGAAGACTGTGTTCGTGTGTTATAATGTAATTTTGGTTAAAAACTATGTAGATAAACAAAAAAAATCTTTGTGATAATTTTTGACATGACCAAATTTCAAATTCAAAGTAATCAAAGGGCAAGGCTGCACCAAAGCATTTAAGTCTTTGTTGCAGTAAGAAAAAAAAATAATAAAGGAAAGTTTGTGTTTTTATTTGGATTCTGAATAATTCCACTGATTGTTTGTGGCAAATTAAGAGGATATTGAGAGGTTGATACTGGGGACCGTTACCTTACAGCTAACAAATGTGTTTTAACACCTTCAACATCATTTCTTGATTCCCCAATAAGAGAACTAAGAGCCATATTCATAAATTACTTAGTCCGCTGAAAGACATACAGTGAGTACATCGGCTATATATGAAAGAAACAAATTCCCACCCAGCAGACAAAGGTATTTGGAGTGTGCTGGTGGCATTACTGGAAGGTGAAAATGCAATGCTACTAAGCTCAGATGGGGGATAGAACACAAGTTCTTTAGGAAAGAAAAGTTATTAAAGACTCTCTTACCAGTCAGATGCACGAATTATGCTACACTTAGCATATTTAGTGCTGACACAAGTTGTTGAAGTTGTCGACATGGTGGCATTGGCCTTTTCAGGAGCACAGTTCTTTTTTGGTACATATAATTGTTTTGGTTGCTTTTCCATTCAATTCTAGATAAATTTGTCTTCAGGGTTGGGCTAATGTCTTTTTTTTCCACCTGTTTTTGATTGGACAAGAATATTACACAGAAGCTACCCGAAGTGTTTTTGAATTTGAAAATTTAAGTAGCAGGTTAGGCATCTGAGGAAAGGACAAAGAGGGGATTTTTGTGAAGAAATACTGAGAAATACATTCCCTTAATTTCAGCCATTTCTAATAATAATTATGGTCCACACAATGATAATTACCCCTTGAGTTTTTAACCTGCTACCCTCCAGCTTTGAAAAGTGAACAAGGTGCATATTGTACACAGGGTCCCCTGCATTCCACATTGAGCTGTGAAACAATGGTGAAGCAGTGCTGTGAAACAACTACAAGTGGTGTATCTTTCTTCGGAGAGGATGGAAACTGCTTTTTGATTTTTAACACTGTAAGTGCAGACACCTGAGGTTCTGTGTACTCTGACTGTATGAAGAGATATGAGCGAGAGAAGATGGGAAATGTAAATTCCAGGATGCTTACACAAGCACAGTAATAGTCAGCACTGGGGAGAAGTTCTCTCTCTGTGCTGTGAAGCCACCACGTTTCTAGTTACCAGGTAGTAAGCAAATTTCATCTTTGCTTAAACTCCAGGTTATGTCAAAGCTGGTTGGTACGTGAAAGCCTGGAGCCACTGAAAGTCCAAGGCAAAACTCCTTTATAACTGAGTAAAAATTTGATTTGTTTGTTCTATTGGAATTGGGTGTACAAGTCACCACACTACTAACTAATGATGATCTGTTTTTGCTTGACAGTGTGCAACTGTCACATGAAACTTGCCCCATACAAAATCATGATATACCAGCTAACTGGATGATAGATTTGTGTGTCCAACAAGCAAAAATGATGCATACGTTTTTATATTTACAGCACCTGTGTAGACAAATTTGGCCTAACAGTACATTTTCCATAAAGAGCTGTTGTATAAGCTTTTTATAATATTTTTGGTGGGAAAAAAGTGTTTCTACTGGAACAGGAAAAAAGGGTTAAATAAAGCCTTCCTCAAGTTCTGGCATGGTAACATCGCATGAGAATCTTAACATAGAATTTGTTATAAAACAAGAAATTTGGTATGGTGAACTAGCTTTTTTTTTTTTAAACAAGTGATAGTGTTACTCAAATGCATGAAGCAATATTATTTCTCAGTTATTTTTCTCAGCCTTTCAGAGTTCTTTTCCAAATCAGATCTAAGAGCAAACAATAGCCCAGCAACAATCACCAGTTTTTATAAAAGGTTTGCAGTGCCTTCATTCGAGTTGTGCCCAACTCCCTCTGTGGTAGGTATGGTCAGTTAGTGATAATACTGGACTTCCAGAGAGGGGATGGAGGCAAAAAGGAAGGAAGTTTTGCAGAGCATGACAAAGCTCTGATTTTAACTTGAATTCTAGGTACTGCCATAGTAGAAGTTAATAATAATCCACAGAAATTTACATCAAAAGAAAATGCAAGGATTTAGCTCTACGACTTTCGCAATATTAAAATTCTAAAAGTTGCAGAGCACAAATAATCTCTTGCTAAGGAAAAATTGGTGTATATCTTCTATTAAAACTTTGCAGTACACACCTGCCTCATAGAGAGAAATTACTCTGATAAATTTTCCTGAATGAAAAATGCAGATGAGATAATAACCGAGGCAGAGATACAATCACATCAGATAGTTCCAGATGGGCCTGTGTAGATTAAACTGAAAGTTGGTCATTTTGCCATTGAGTGCATTTTAATTCAACAGTATATTAATCAGAAACTGCCTTCCCTTCAGCCTCTCCTCAACAACCAAGATGGAGCACAATGTCGTGTTTGCAAGTATTTTGTGCAAGTGAGGTGTAGAATATAATGCCTTTTGCTGATACTGTAGCAGTTTTCAGTCAATACAGTACTTAAACATTAGGCATTTGAATAGTCAGCTTGCAGAATACAAATAACAGCATGATCGCGGTCACAAAGTAGTATCTTACATAACTATGAGATAATGCCATGCAGTTCAGTATATCAGTAAAACAGGAAAACAGAAACTAAAAATGACACTTCTTTTTAGACACCTATGCAGGCAGCTAGCTCCCCTAACCAATTTTTTTAGACTCCAGTGTGAGCAGCAGGGTTTGCATCTAAAGCAGATGCAAAGTATGTTCCAGTGTGAGCATACACAAGGGAGATGAGGCCAAATCAAAATCCTTTATACAAGCAGACTTCATCCTGGCACAAATGAAACCCTGCAGCCAGTAAGAACTGCAGAGTATGTGCAGAATATGGATTTGGCCCACAATAGAAAGACCATAGATTTTCACTGTGAGGTTGGATCCAGATCCAGAGTTTTGGTTCAAAAGTCATCTGTACTTCACAGGATTGATACCAAGCATATGCTTTAAATGAATATGGTATGTAGTATCTCTAAAGAGGAATTGAACATGACATGAGCCAAAATCCCTGCAACAGCAGCATTTTGGAAATACAATTGAAGTCAAGGGTCTCTGTTGTGTATTAGCAAATTATAGTTTACTGTGGCCTACATAATTTAAGAAAATGTAAATTAAAATTAAAGCTTGTAAAAATATGTACATCTTTGCTATTTCTCAATAAATACACTTGGAAATGTCCTTTTTCTGCACTATACTATGTTGTAAGATGTTTGGTTTGTGGTTGAAACCCTCAGTACACAACATCTGTTATTGGAACTGAGCGAGACTTTGGACTCCTCCTAAGTGTGTTTGTGCTGGCTTTGTGTATTTGTAAGAAGCAGCCTCTAGAGGGAACCACCCTGTGGGCTGCAGCAAGGTTTCCTTATCGAGGGAACTAGTTTTTTTTTCCAGATTGCAACCTGTTGTGGTCCTCGAGGCAAAACACAGAACAAACCAATCAATGATCTAGGTACACTTTTCATAAGCATATTATTCATAAGCTTATTTTCATAAGCATAACCCTTACTGGTTCGCTTACTAATATTATGTTAATATCCTTCTTACGGACAAGTAGCTCAAAACATGAGTTGTTCAGAGACAGAATGAGTTACTAAAGAACAAGCAGCAATTTTGGTCAAAGCTCAGCCTTCTGAAACTTTTCACACCGTAATCGTCTTTGGGAGTGTTGTTTCATGTCTTAGTGAGGTGTTGATTTTAGCATGAAGGAAGCAGTCCCTCTACAGTCAGTTCGCCTGGACTTTTAGGCAGTCACTTCAAAAATGGAGCCACAAAACTATCAGTACATATAGATGTGACATTACAGTTTTAGAAATAACATTGGAAGTGGCAGAGCCTTGGTAACCACAGCTTGTAAACCACAAGAGATGATAGCTTATAAATTGTAGGGCTTTTTCCCCCCAGGAGTTAGATTAAAGCATGTCTGTTACAAGGATAACTATTCTCTATGTAAATACAACAAAGTAATGGTAAGGACACTATTTTTTCTGATAAACTGTTCAGATGCTTAATTTTAATGCCTGTGCCCATCATTATATATGGTAAAATTTATGAGCTGTTTGCAACATCACGTAGATGAATATGGCCAGCTGGACAGTGCGCAATATTTTACACAATACTGAAAGTACATATTGTACAAGTAAAAATCTTACAAAATAGTACATGTTTTCAAGTGTACTAAAAATATGTAGTATATTTCTCCTTGTTCACTGAGGACACAGGAATGCACGTTTGCTGCTATGTGGTACATTTGTCTTCCACTCCAGTTTTAGGAATCAAAAGGAAGGAATACAAAAAATAGGGTGGACAAAAGAATAAAGAAATCCCTTCTGTCGAGCAGACTGACCCATTGTTAACAGTGGTTTCAAAATTGCATCTCCTGGATGGGTTTACATGTGACTCCAAAGAAGAAAAAATGTTAGTGTAACTTCAGAAAAGTGAGACAAGAGAGAGTCAGAAAATGCTTTTCCTCTCTCATTAAAATTATGGGTGGCTTCCCTTTTCAATATCAGGATAAAAAAGAGATATTTGGGGCTCGTACATTGAAAGCTTTTGTCTGGGTTATAGCACAGCATTAGCCTCATTTTTGTTTGCTGATCCAGAGAAATTCAGTGCTCTGTATCACTGTCAATGGGACCTGCACATGAAGATTCCCAGCACTGAACTACAGTAAAAGCATTATGCTAATAGCAATTACAGGTGCAAAAATAACTCTTTCTCATTACCTATAATGGATCCAGATTTCCAAAGGAAAACCAAGCAGACATTCAGAATAGAATTACATATGTGTCTCTTCCATTGTTTGCCAAGGTATTATGATCTCTAGGGCATGCACATTTAGGATGGACTTGTTTGATCCATCTTCCTTTCTCCCAAATAAAGCATAGATTCTGAAACATTTTGCGCATGTTTATAAATCTATGGGAATTGTTTCAGTTGCCAAAAGCCCAGGCAGTAGGAGGAGTGCTGAGAAAGTCAAAAAGCGTGTTTTTGCACGTTAGTTTCTCCAGCAGCTTCAAAAATTTGATTTTTCCAAGAACTGAGGCTGTGACCTGAAACCACTAGTAAAAATGAAAAGAGAAAATATTGAATAGTTGCACAAATTAATTTGTAGGCTGGGCAAGGACAGAAAATCCTTTTGTCACACAAGGCAACATTTATCAAATTTGCCGAGGGAATCAGCTGTCAAACATCCATCTAAAGATGGATTATTAGAAATCCACATAGGCACTTCAATAAACATGAAGCAAGAGAGCAGAGGAGCACGATGGTTATGGGTTTAACTGAACTAGACACTGTCAAGGAGGCTCCTAACAATGGAGGTTGATTAAAGTTTCTTTTTTGTGCTGTACTGTCAGTGTCAAGGAAAATGAAGTGCAGCAGAAGAGCAGCAAATGGAAAGTGATTCATGCCTCCTAGGCTACTATAAACCCTACTGTGCCCTTTACATGGAAGTGCATACTTTTTCTATAAAGAGGCACATCTAGAGCTTTTTGGAAAATATTAGAACTTGTTGACTCATTGAAATCAAAATGTTTGATGATGCTGTCCACACCAATGCTAGTGAATGGAATATTTCTAGTCCTATTTAGAGTAAGAGTAAATC